GGAATCTCTCAACAAAGGCAACAATCATTGGGAGTTGACGTGGCACAAGCTGATTTCTCTTCTCACAAAAAAAATGTACAAAGACCATCCAACAATGGAGACACTCACCGAGAGATAATGTGGGGTGGAAAGACGCGGGAGGGAAAGGGGCGGTGGGCTGGGAGGGTGTGGTGGAGTTGATCCACACTGGCTCTCTAAGAAACGTTCTAAGCTAGCGCAACAACAGTTTCCTTTCCGCCATCATTTCATGAGGTTTGTTTCTGTCCTAAACAGCAAGAGTTGACGGAAAAAAGGCCTCCGCAGCCCACCTGTTCTATTTCGACACTCATCGAGAGATAATGTGGGATGGAAAGACGCGGGAGGCAAAGGGGTGGTGGGCTGGGAGGGTGTGGTGGAATCACCCGGATCACAGAGGCTTTTGAGGAGTCTCAGACCCACTCAATTCCCTTCCCTCACCGTGAGATGATGTGCGGTGGGAAGACGCGGGAAGTGAAGGCTCGGCGGAAGATGTCAGCAAACTGGGCGTCACACACTGTTTTGAGAGTTGACACAACTCACTACTCGGCTCTCTGCCCTCACCGTGAGATGATGTGGGGCGGGAAGACGCGGGAGGCAAAGGCTCGGCGGAAGATGTCAGCAAACTGTGCGTCGAGCCCTCCGATGCCGAGCTTCTCAAAGTTGAAGTCCTTCTGCTTGAATAGCGCCGCTGCCTTTCCCCCTCCTGTCCTCTGATTCACGATCTGATGGGTGTCGATGGGGAGGAGAGGACGGGAAAGGGGGGAGGGGGAGGGGCACGGACAAGGCAAGACACAGGAGAAAGAGAGAGAAAGAGAGAAACAGGGAGGGAAGAAGGGGAGTATGGGATGGGAGGATATCAGCAAACTGCGCGTCGAACCCTCCAATGCCGAGCTTCTCAAAGTTGAGTTCCTTCTGCTTGAATAGCACCGCTGCCTTGCCCCCTCCTGTCCTCTGGTTCATGATCTGATGGGCAGGGAGGCAGGCAGGAGGAGGAGGGTGGGGAGTGGAGGGGGAGGGGCACTGGCATGGCAAGACACAGGAGAGTCAGAGGTCGAAGCTAGCAGCCCTCTTGTGGACGCAAACGTGATAAAAAGTAGCGTTTTGAGATGTCTTATAACACTACTTTTATCACGGAGGGGGAGCTGCACGGGCATGGCAAGACACAAGAGTGTCAGAGCTCGAAGCTAGCAGGAGAGTCGAGCAAGCTAGCTCGAAGCTGCAGCCCTCTTGTGGACGCAAACGCCCGCACGCCCTCTTGCCGGTCAGGCGCTGGGAACTTCACGAGAATGACGGTGAGGGCGACTGGTTGATTGGTGCTGCGGCTCCTATTGCGTTGTACCTCCCAGAGGTACAACTTAATGACTCTTGAGCCGACCCAGCAGAAAACCACCTTGATGCCTGACCCAGCAGCAGCAGGAGCAGCAGCAGCAGCAGCAGGACGAGCAGCAGCAGCAGCAGCAGCAGGACGAGCAGCAGCAGCAGCAGCAGCAGCAGCAGCAGCAGTGCTCACCTTGATGCCTGATCCAGCAGCAGCCTCATAGATGATCCCCGTCTGCTTCACCAGCAGCCCTCTCGTCGATGCAAGCGCCCGCGCGCCCTGCTTCCCCGTTTGATGTGTCTAGACCTTTAGATCGCCCCCAACCAAACCCACCTTGATGCCTGAACCAGCAGCAGCCTCGTAAATAATCCCCGTCTGCTTCACCAGCAACCCGCGCGTCGACGCAAACGCCCGCGCGCCCTCCTGCCCCTCGGGCGAGGGGAACTCCACGAGAATGACGGTGAGGGCGAAGTTGGTGCCGTGGAACTCGAAGGAGATCTTCTGCCCCACTGTCAGCACCTGCCCTGCAAAGCGCTTCAGCACGTCCTTTGATAGCTCTGCTGCGTCTAGCTGTGGGGGGGGGACGGGGAGCCCAGGAAATCGAGAGGAGAGGAGGGGAGGGGAGAGGAGGAGAGGAGAGGAGAAGAGAGGAGAGCAGAGCAGGGAGGCAAGGCAATTCTTGCATCACTTTCGGGAACTCTCGGAGGCTGCATGCGAGTGTAGAGCAAAGAAAAGAGAAGACAAGATGCTCTCAGCTCCCTCACCTGCTCGGCTCTGGCTCGGCCCTCCTTGGAGTGAAAGTCAATCTCCAGCGTGGTGGTCTGTAGCTCAAAGTTCATCGGCGGGGGGACAAACCCCCTGAGCCTGTCCTCTCACTCACTCACCTGCTACGCTCGCCCCTTTCGTCTTGTCAGTCCCCTCACTCACCTGCTCGGCTCTGGCTCGGCCCTTGGAGTGAAAGTCAATCTCCAGCGTGGTGGTCTGTAGCTCAAAGTTCATCGGCGGGGGAACGAACCCCCGGAGCCTGTCCTCTCACTCACTCACCTGCTACGCTCGCCCCTTTCGTCATGTCAGTCCTCTCACCTGCTCGGCCCTGGCTCGGCCCTTGGAGTGAAAGTCGATCTCCAGCGTGGTGGTCTGTAGCTCAAAGTTCATCGGCGGGGGGACGAACCTGACATGGGGAACGGGTGGTAAAAGGAAGAGTACAGGTAGGTAGAGTGTTTTTTACCCTGGAAAAGAGAGTTTTACCTGCTTCTTTTCCTATGTGTGAGGGCCTCTGGGACCTGAATGTCGGAGAAGTAAAGTTAGCATGCTTAGGAATCCCTGGATCCCTGGGAACCACGTTCAGCGCCACGGCGGTCCCCACCTCCCCACAGGCAGCCTCTCGATCTCTCCCCCCCCCCCCAACACTCCCCCCCTCCTTCCCCCTTATATTCCTTACCTCCCCACTGGCAGCCTTTCTCTATCTCTCCCCCCCAAACACTCCCCCTCTCCCTTATCTCCCCTACCTCCCCACAGGCACCCGGTCGCCCGCAGAGACGCGCGCGTTGCGGCGCTGCACAGCGTTGAGCGCCACTGCCCCCACCTCCACGGCTTCGTGCGCTGTGATTGGTCGAAATCCGCCGCCAGTAACCGATGATTGGACAGAAAAGCGCGATGAAGGCACGCCACCCCGCGATAAGAGATGGTCGAAGTTAAGGGTAACTAGAAAGAGAGAGAGTGAGGAAGGAGATAAGCATACTGCAAAAGGAAGAGCTGGGGAAACCAAAGCAGGCGAGAAGAGGCGAGGGTCGAGCATCGGGTGAAGTGTAGATACGGATATGAACAAACACGGGAACGGCGGCAAAGAACAAAGTAAGACTGACAAGAATGGACGGATAAAGAAGGATAAGCGAGCGTGTGCGGATAGACACACTGTGGAAGAGACGGTTTACAGAGAGACGAAATTAGGCTGAGATTGCGAGGGAGGGACGCGAATAAGAGGATATGCAACGGTGAGGATGTTCCCTCCGATCTCGATGAATCCGTGCGGGCTGCCTTGGAACGCTGCGAAGCACTGCAGTTCCGTTCGCGAAAGGAAAGCGAAGTTCGTCAACGCGAGATCTGGCGACGGACAGTTGACGACTTTTAGACTCTCGGGGACCGCTGCAGCAGCCACAGGAGCTCCCGCGCCGTACGCTGCCTGCTTTCCCACCGGCGCCACGGACGCGCCTCGAGACCACATGGCGGCTAAGTTTAGACCGCCTAAGACTCGTCGCTAAAGCAACACTAGTGACCAGCAAGCAAACGAAGCTTGGGAGCGAGAAATCGGACGGAATCGCTAACGCTTCTGTTCTGAAAATCCAACTTCGAGGGGATGGTTGCGTCTGTACGGGATTCAAATCTGAGCTTGGAGATCCAGAAGAGGTATCAAAAGGTTTAGATGTGCCCAGAACGAGTATATGCGATAGATGGTGGTGAAGAGGCAATTCCGTCTCAAACACATCTGTCCTCGGCTGGGAGAATCTTCGAGCTTTGCTGGCTCAACCTAGAAATTGGATACAACAATTATCGAGGACAGACGGAAGACTTCGGACAGAACCCAGTATACGCATCAACATGAGCAAATGTACAAAGAAGAAAAGAATGTCTTGAGGTGTTTGTGTTGTGTACACAAAAACTTTCCAGCCTGGGAGGAATTCTGTTAGGTCAGAGGGAGGTTAGAGATGCGAAAAGCTAGTAATTGGATAATAATTTTCAAAATAATGGACCCCTGCATACATTTGGTTATGTGGTTCTCGAATACCTTAAGATAGTGTGGATTACGAAAAGAATTAGGGTACCTAAGTACAAGGCCTGGATGTGACAACTTTGTCAGCCTGAATTTCGTAGTACTGAAGCTACCTCTACGGAGGTGCAACAACTCACGGTTCACTACATGGGCTTCCTTCTGCCCCAACAAGCCGCAGGCATGTGGTGTATTTCTCGGACCGCCCATGTCACATGGCCAGACTGTCGCCTATGTGGGTGTGTGCTTGAATACCGTAGACCAGCTTTTTGTACCCGCTGAAAGCATGGCGGCTCTGCTGAAAATACCGTCACCTCTGTAAAAGCTCGCATGTGAACACGCAGCAACCACGAAAGCGGTTCTTCTGGAAATCTTGTCGTAAACAAGTGGATGGACAGCAGCATTCGAATTAGGTGTGGTTATGTTCCCGGGTGGAGGTCGTGTGGGTTGGCTTGGGTTGGGTTGGTTTGGGGTAGTTTCAGAAGAGTACTGCTGCTACCAGCCTGTTTGCCAGCTGTTGCTGTTGCACATCCCCGTTCCCAGATTTTCCTCACCCCAGCCGTCTCCTCCCAAAACAGGAAGATTGTCCCAGCTCACCTACCTCCCCCAAACAAGCCCCCCACTTGAAGCCGACCAACCGACCCATCCGAATCGCGATCTCGTTTCCTCCTCTCCTCCCCCCATCGCCAACTTCGCTCTCGGACCTTCACGTCACATGCGACGAGGAAGTTTGGAGTAGTAGAAAAAGGGAATGGAGTCATCTCTCTACCATCCAGCTCGCTCACAGATCGAAACAATCACTTTCGATTTCACCCATTCTTCATCCGCGAATAGTTCGGTTTTGAATCCTAGAGTCATCCTCATCGTTCGTTCAAGTCGTCGCACCACAGCCGCACGATGAAGTCCTCCGCAGCTATCCTCTTCCTCAGCCTCATCCTCGCCGTTCTTTGTAAGAGACAACTCTCATCCTACGAGCAGATAGTATAATCTAGGTTTCGTGACGTCGTCTGGTTTCGAGACTGCGGCAATTGCGCTTCGTGTTGCTCGCAAGTGCGCTGCGACCCTTTTTTATTGTCTCATAAGCGATGCAAATCTTTTGAAATTGCAAGCGTTCATCCCAGAAGGCGAGACGCTGACCTTGCTCTCCTGCTCGACGCTTGTTGATGTCGACGCGGTGGTGTGGATGCAGGTTGTTCCGTCCAGGCCCATGGTCGCGACGATCGCGGCGGCCGCGGCGGGCGGTTCCGCTGGCCCATCATCCTTGGTGAGCCGCATCCCCTTCCCCGTCATTTCGCCATCCGTCCTCATAAGTCGAATAAAGCTTCACCCTGGATTCGGTTTTTTTTTTTTTTTTTTTTTTTTTTTTTTTTTTTTTTTTTTCTGGGGGGGGGGGTGGGGGGGTGAACATATAGAGTTTCCCACACCAATTGTTCACCGCGTTGTTGTTACCGTTTGCGACTTCCGTTGTATTGTGTGAAATGCAGCATCCGGCGAGTCTTCACTGAAATCGTGCCCTCGCGTCTATGGCGTCAGGGGGTCTGCTGCGATCAAGAACTATCAGTTCCAGTGAGTCTCTCCCTCCCCTCACAATTCTTGAGACGCCTCATCCACCCCGCCTTCCCCAACCACCCAAGTTCCCCCATTCCCCCCCCTAACAAAATCTTTCCATTTCGTTAATTACAGTAAAGCCTGCATTCCATGGTGGTTCTTTGCTGTTCCTACATTCCGTTTTCCTCATATTCATAATTCATTTCTCTTGCTCCCGTTATACTCCCATTTCTTCAGGAACGGCTCTTTGATTCTCACCTATCAGCTGCTCGTTACAGGAACCACCTCACCTCCCACGTCCCAGGCTGTGGTAACCGGCAATCCCTGCGACACGCTGGTAACCCCAACCACTGTTACGGATCTGCCCGGCACCTGGACTCCCACCTGGGTTCGCTGGGGCACGGCCTACACTCTGTACGGCAGCACTGACGGCACAGCGCTTATGACCGGTCTGCAGAACACAAACGGCCGTCGCCGCGCGCCCAAGATGTTTATTGTGTTCCGTGGTAACGGCACGATCTCTGGGAAGCTGGACTTCTGGTAGACTCTCGTCCGCGTTTCGACCTTTTGAGGCGCCTCAGAAGTCGGCAGAACAGGGGTAACCGCCTTCGCGCGCCCAAGATGTTCGTCGTGTTCAGTGGTAACGGCACGATATCTGGGAAGCTGGACTTTTGGTAGACTCTCGTCCGCGTTTGTGGCTGAATTGGGTGTTTGGTAGAAGGGCTGGGTGGTGGCTGGGGATAGCGTTGCGTACATTCAGGCTGTTCTGAGTTGCCTCTAGAACAGGCTGAATGTAGACAACAGTTGTGGACCGATCATCCTCTGTACGGGAACGAAATAATAACAATTTTGGAGTGTTCTTTACCAGTTTGATGACTGCCCTTGCATTTCTCGCCCACCTATCCCACAAGCAATGAGCTGGACACTACCACCATGCAATCCGGATCGTACATCTGAACTGAAAACACTTAATGCAGCTGACTAGAGAAATCATCATGATTCATGCGCTCCGATCAACCACCCCATCTTCCTCTCCACAAACACTGACCTCGACTGGACACCACCATGCCATCAGGCCAGATCGCACCGGTACCGTACATCTAAACTGAACCACTTTATTTATTAGTCGACTAAAGAATCATTATGCCATCTCACTACCCCATCTTCCTCCCAGCAACCACTGCGCTGGATACAACCAAACCATCTGAATCGTACGTCCGAACAGCGTCTAGTTGACTCAAGTCATCTCAACCCACCTTCCTCTCACCCCAGCTTCTTCTCAACAAATACTGAGCTAGACACAACCAAGCCATCCGGATCGTACGGCCGAACCACTCTCCGCCGCCACCACCCCTCTGCTCCAGGCACAGCAACCACTGCTCTATCTACGGTAACCCAGACCTCTCTATCTCAATCCCCGCCCTCTCACCCTCCCCTGGTTCCGCCAGGATGGTTTCAAAGAAGAAGGCTCGGCCGCGGGGCACACAGCAGGGCGCGGAGAGAGCAAGGCCGCCGGGAAGGAGAGTGATCTGCTGCCCTCCGTCCAGCACCACCCCACCTTCCTCTCATCCCACCTCTCTCTCATCCCAGCTTCCTCTCAGCAAACACTGAACTTGACACCACCAAACCATCCGGATCGTACGTCCGAACCACGCGCCGCCGCTGCCACCCTTGTGCTCCAGGCACCGCAACTCCTGCCCCTCCTCTATCTCCTGGTTCCGCCAGGATGGTTTCAAAGAAGAAGGCTCGGCCGCGGGGCACACAGCAGGGCGCGGAGAGAGCAAGGCCGCCGGGAAGGAGAGTGATCTGCTGCCCTCCGTCCAGCACCACCCGCCCACCCCCAACCTGCTGCTCCTGCCCAATCTGATCTTCCGAGCCTCCAGCTTCGGAAGAGGTGGCCGTAGCTTCGGGAGCTGCCTCTGTGTGGTTGGTAACGGCTCCCCTCCGCCTGAAGCAGAGGTCTCCCCGCGTCTCCTCCTGGTGTGACAACGTGCGTGAAAAGGAGTTCAAACAATGGGGGTGAAGGTGCGGGTTGAAAGAGGGGGGAGAGCACAGGAGGGGTGAGGGTTTGGAGCTGACTGTGAACCAGAGCACACGAGGGGGATAAGTCGAGTTTTGAGTTGACTCAAAACTCGACTTAACACACACGGGTGAGGGTTTGGAGCTGACTCGGAAACAGAGCACACGAGGGGGGGCGGGAATTGGAAAAGCGGAAGGGGCTCTTGTAAAACCAAGTCACTCTTGAGAGCTGAGTGTGGAAGAGAGAGAGGGTGACTCACCAGGCCCAGGCTGCCATCGCTGAAGCGGGTGATGAAGAAGTTGGAGGTCGAGTGGGTGACCGTTTCCCCATAGATGGCCGATCGGTGGGTGGTGGAGGTGCTGTCCCACTCGCCCAGCCAGCAACGCACAGAAGGGGGGGATGGAGGAGACGAGAAGGCGTGACTTACCAGTCCCAAGCTCCCGTCGCTGAAGCGGGTGAGGAAAATGTTGGAGGTCGAATGAGTGACCGTCTCCCCATAGATGGCCGATCGGTGGGTGGTGGAGGTGCCGTCCCACTCGCCCAGCATTAGTGCCAGGCGCGAGGAGGGGATTGGAGCGTTGGTGGGGTCTGGTCGTGCCTGGTGAGGAGAAGGGAGTGGGGAAGAGAAAGCGGAGAGGGGAGGAGAAAGGAGGAAGGAAGGGACGGCGGATGGTGGGTGGTTGATCGGTGGGTGGTGGAGGTGCCTTCCCACTCGCCCAGCATTAGCGCCAGGCGGGAGGGGGGGATCAGGGTGCTCTGGTTGCGCCTGGTGAGGGGAGAGGGCAATGGGGAAAGGGAGGAATGGGGAAAGCGAAGGAGGAAGTGAGCAAGGAAGGGATGGTTGTGGCCGATGGGTGGGTGGTGGAGGGAGGTGCCATCCCACTCGCCCAGCAACAGCGCCAGGCGGGATGAGGGGATCAGGGCGTTTGGGTCGTCTGGTTGCGCCTGGGGAAAGGGAGAACGTTAGGGGAGGACAAGTGAGGGATGGAGGACGGAGGAGAGGAGGGAGAGGCCAAAAAATGAGCCTGAAGACTGGGAGAGGTGGTTGGTGAGGAGGGTCCATCCCACCCACCCAACGGTAGAGTGGTGGTGATTGGGGAAGAGTGGGAGTGGGAGTGGTGATTGGTGATTACCCTCTCCTCCACAAAGAGTGGATCATCCCCTTGGAGTCCAACACATGAAACGCACGCACCCTCCGATCTGATGCCCCCATCCACTCACCTCCAGAAGCTCTGTGGCATGGGCTGTCGTTGTCCCTGAATTCCGGGATGGACCATCTTCACCCACTGCTTCCCTCTCCTCCACAAACACTCCCAGAGAGTGGATCATCCCCTTGGAGTCCAACACTTGGAACGCACGCACCCACCCTTTACTTTTGCTCTGACTCACCTCCAGTAGCTCTCTGACATGGGCTGATGTTGCCCCTGAATCATCTTCATCTTCACCCGCTAATTCTCTTTCCTCTACAAACACACCCAGCGTGTCGATCATCCCCTTGGAGTCCAACACATGGAACGCACGCACCCTCCGATTCCCCCAATTTGTATCCTCTTCCGAATTTGATTCAGACGGAGGCTCGGAAGCTGGTTCGGAAGCAGGTTCGGAGAGATAGAGGCATGTTTCGCTGACGAGAGCGGGGCGGCGGGACGGCAGCTTCACCCCTCCGATGACCTCTGCTGCTTCGTCGTCATCTGCCGCCTCTCCTCCCACCACCCCCACTGCCAGTGCCCTCACTAGGTCCTCTGCGGTTTGATGGCTGAGAGCGTAAGCTTTATGTTGTGCGAACCAGGCGACCTGCACACATGGCAGTAGGCAGGAGAAGGGGAAGAGAGAAGAATGGGACAGGAGAGAGGAGAGGGAGGAGGGAGGAGAGAGGAGGGAGGAGAGAGGAGTGAGGAGGGAGGAGGGAGGAGGGAGGAGGGAGGAGTGAAAGAGAGCGGGACGGCAGCTTCACCCCTCAGATGATCTCTGCTGCTTCGTCGTCATCTGCTGCCTCTGCTCCCACCACCCCCACTGCCAGTGCCCTCACTAGGTCCTCTGCGGTTTGATGGCTGAGAGCGTAAGCCCGATGGTCAGGGAACCAGGCTACCTGAAAGGGAGGGGATGGGGGAAGGGGAGAGAGAGAAGGGGTCGTCATTTGCTGCCTCTGCTCCCACCACCCCCACTGCCAGTGCCCTCACCAGCACCTCTGCTGTCTGTTGCCTCTGCTCCCACCACCCCCACTGCCAGTGCCCTCACCAACTGGGGAATATTAATAATTATAATTCCAATCACTATAGGATATGGATTAAGTGCACCTCTGCTGTCTGGTGGCTGTCTGGTGGACTAATGAAGGCCAGCATGCATCTGCAAAACTCTATCACACTCTGATTCTGTCAAGAAAAAAAAAAAAATAATAATAACAGCCACGTGCCTGAAGGCGATTGGCTGCTGTGATCCGATTGACCTCCTCTAGTTTGATGTCCACCCACTCCTCCCCTCCCTCCTCCCCACTTGTGTGTGCTTGCTTCACACTTAATCTGGTGGGGAGAGGGGAAGGGGAATGGTGAGATGAGAAGAGGGGAGGGGAAGAGTGAGGAGGGGAGGAAGAGAAAATGGAGTAAAAGGGACGAGGATTGCTAGGAGTCTTGCTGCAAGAGGTTGCCACATACTTGACTTGATTTGGAGGTGAGAGGAGGGGAGGGGAATGGTGAGAGATGGCAGCGGGTGGTGAGAGGTGTGGAGGAATGGAGAGAGGAGAGGAGTGGAGAGGCGAGGAGTGGAGAGGAGAGGAGTGGAGAGGAGAGGAGTGGAGAGGAGTGGAAAGGAGAGGAGTGGAGAGGAGAGGAGTGGAGTGGAGTGGAGAGGAGAGGAGAGGAGTGGAGAGGAGAGGAGAGGAGTGGAGAGGCGGAATTTGAGGCGCCTCAAAAGTCATGAGAGGTGTGGAGGAATGGAGAGAGGAGAGGAGAGGAGAGGAGTGGAGAGGCGAGGAGTGGAGAGGCAGGCAAAAAAAATGGTTCTACTTACCCTCCTGAAAGGCTCACGTTCTAAAACAAAACTTAATAATTTTCACAATTAGAAAAGGCTGTGGCAAAGACTCACGGCTGTAGCAAGGAGATGTTCTCTTCGTGGCCAAAGGCTGCAGCGAATCGCGTCTGTAGCAGCAAGCGACTCACGTCTGTAGCAGCGACTCACGTCTGTAGCAGTGACTCACGTCTGTAGCAGTGACTCACGTCTGTAGCAGCGACTCACGTCTGTAGCAGCGACTCACGTCTGTAGCAGCGACTCACGTCTGTAGCAGCGACTCACGTCTGCAGCAGCGACTCACGTCTGTAGCAGCGACTCACGTCTGTAGCAGCGACTCACGTCTGTAGCAGCGACTCACGTCTGTAGCAGGGAGCTGTTCTCTCCCCGTCCAGAGGCTGTAGCAGAGAGGCGTGCGGGCACTCTGTGTAGCAGACGGCCGTTCACATCGTAGTGCTGGTGAGGAAGGGGAGCAGCGGGGGTAGAGGGGAGGGGAGAGTGGGAAAGGAAGATGGGAAGTGAGCAGAGAAAGGCAGGGACGAGCAGAGAGGCGGTTGGTTGGTTGGGCACTCTGTGTAGCAGAGCAGGCGGCCGTTCAGATCGCAGTGCTGGTGGAGGGGGGGAATGGATGTGGGTGGAGGGGGATGGATCGTGGGCACTCTGTGTAGCAGAGCAGGCGGCCGTTCAGATCGCAGTGCTGGTGAAGCAAGAAGGAAGGAAAGGGGCGGAACGGGGGGCGGAGCGGGGACCAAAGGGGGGAAGAACAAAGGAATGTGGGGGAGAGGCTTGCGGGGAAGGCAGGCAGTGGGGACGAGACGAGCAGAGAGGCTGGCGGGCAGTGGGCACCCTGTGAAGCAGGTGGCTTTTGAGGCGCCTCAGAAGCCCTGTGAAGTAGGTGGATGTTTAATCAGATGAGATCATAATGCTGGTGTGTGGGGTGGGGGGGGAAAGCGAGGGAGGAGGGGATGCAGGGACTAGGGAGCAAGAGGGGACAGGAGAGGCACGAGGGGGCAAGAACTACGATGCCCAAACCAAACCCAAAACCCGCGGCTGAATTCCCCAACGTAAACATCGAACCTAAACCTCGAACCTAAACCTCGAACCTAAACCTTGAACCTGAACCTCGAACCTCACCTCCAGTCGACGTGGCCGAAGGTTTGAAAATCGTCTGAAGCGGGACCTTGGGATCATCGCTCAAGGTTTCATTCTTTCTGCCCTGAACCAGCCTTTGCCCTACAACGCTCAAGCAAGTCTGGATTGCACATTAGAAAACCGAACGTCGTGGCCCTTTAGTCCTTGATATCTTTGCCGTATTTGCGGTCGGACTCACCAGAAACGCGCCACGCCACTGGCCCTCGTTGATTTTCACGAACCGCTCCAATTCATTCCCGCCAAAATGACATTTTTCCAGCTCCGGTTCCTCTTCATCCTCTTCCTCCTCCTCCACCTGCTCCTCTCCCTCGCTCACTGCCCCCGAGGATTCCGAATCGCGCCCCGCCGAACTATCTCCCGAAGCGCGAGTAACGACAACACGTGGGCTACGCTCGGGCCTTGAGGCGAGTTGCGGAAAATGCGGGGCTCGTGAAGGAATCAGGGGGGAATTTCGGGAGGTTATGAGGTGCGCTCTTGAAGATTTGGTGGATGCGCAATTAGAGGCGAATGGTAACGTGGTAATCGCGCATGCTCGTGACGTGACCACATTCGCCGAATGAGTTAACGCCATGTGGAGGGAGGACATGTTCGTGGAAGGAGCGCCCGTCAGCAGCGCCATCAGACATGTGTCCGCTTTGCTGAGGTGAGGGTAGAAGGTTCAAAGGGCATGACTGCCTTGTTTGTACGCGTTGTTGGAGGGGGCCGAAACAAGTCGTGTGAGGTACAGATTGAAAGCTACGTAAAAACTCATGATTCTGTGTTACACAAAGCAGTGTTTTTTACAAATGGAAATCTCAGCTCCGGAACAAGGGGCACACTCCAGTCCAGACCAGACCGCTGGCAAACAAATGCAAGGCAACAGCAAACCGACCTCAGTTTCCCTTCTGCTTGCTTTCCCGCGCTATCAGAAAATGGATTGAGCGTCGCCTTTCCTTCCTGAAAATGGATGGGATTGAGCAAAGTTATCTCAAACTAGGTGTATGTTTAAGCTACTTGTGATAGGGAACTTCAAACACTGAACAAGCCTTTCCCTTTTAAGCGCAAAAAAACCAAATTTTGCTTTTACCCTAGAAATTGAAAACGTGACCTTTATTAGGTTCCTCATGCGCATTGCTCTAAGTTTTTTGGTGATGGGTGCTTGTACTGCAAGTTTTTCCACAGTGCTTACATAGAGCTCGGAAGCGGTCGTAGTGGCCGGGTCGCGATCGGAAGGGTCCCCGATAGGCCAGGCTGTCCGACGCAACACTGCAAAGATTTGGGTAAACATCCCTGCAGAAGAGTTTCCTGGTTTGGCAGGACTGCTCGAACGCAAGTGAACGGGAAACTTTATGCTGCATTGATGATAGACGGGGAAGCTGAAGTGAAAATGGAGAGGAGTGACGAGTGACAGTCCCCACCTACCGCTTCACCTTTTCCCCCTCCCCCGCCCCAGGCCGCAACTATTCTGGATGTTTTGCACCGACCTGTGACGGTCTGTACCGTATCATAAAGATAAAACCCCGTACTGCAAGCAGTGTTGAGGTCTGCCATCTCTGTACCTCTTAGTACGGTTCTGTACGTTTCATAACAACTATCATGAAATCGTAAACGGTTTGGCAGGTTCTTGAAGAGAAACTCCCAAGATACGCCCAAGATCTTAGAGCGCATCTGTCCAGTTTGGTCCGCCGGAAATCTTTTTGTTCTTTCGATCTCTCGTCTAGCAAAGTTGCTTTCCATTTCCAGTTGCTGTGCCGTGCCAGACATACTCTCTCCCCCCCAAGCACGCCACTTGCTCAACAAGTGGGATCTCCATTCCCTGTCATCCACTCTCATTCCCAACCATTCCCCTTCGATTTTACCTTCCGATGTCCCACCCCACGTCTCTGTCAGTTGCCTCGACAGCCTTCTTGACGAAACCCTGCTGCGCAGCGCTAGCTACGACTGGCTTCAGAGTCCCACCCTGATCAAAGCAATACTGTATTACCACAGGAGAATACATCGCTCGTGCCAATATTAGTAATATCTTACTGTGCAATCCTCGTCTAACCGGGAGTGCTTCACACGGAAGATTATTATTAACCGCTTCACAAAATTGTTTTCCCCCCTTACTATGTACTTATAGGTTCTGCTATATTGTAGATACGGAGCTATATGGAGTAAATTGCTTGTAGCAGAACCTATAGGTACATTGTACGGGGGGGAACAATTTTGGGATGCGATGTTACCTGTCCTTCCGTGCTTGGCAATGCAGCCTTTACTACGTACTATTTTTTTTTAACAGCGACTACTGTCGGTGCGTGACTGCGCGCTTCGAAAAATCCTTAATTGTAACCCTTCTTGTTCTCCGACGTCGCAAAGGTCACAATTTTTGCTCTTTTTTCGAGCACCGTAGTCTCTAGAGCTGTTTGGACCGCATTGTTGCAGATATTAGAGTCTCTCGCTCTTTACGACGTCGGACGTCGCATTAATTGTTATGATCGGCTTGGAGCGCCCGTAGTATCTAGAGCTGTTTGGACCTCATTGTCGCATGCAAATATTACTAAAGACTCACAAACTTTTTCTTTCAGTGCGTCGCTGTCGACTCAGTCAGTACGCCTCGAGGCGCTAACGCGGACGCCGTTCCTTCCACTCTTATTTATAGCAGCCGCGCATTTTTACCCTACTTAAAAAACTCCGTAAAGCATCATATTGAGTATTCTCTTCGAAATAGCTGTACAACTTAAATTGTTACACCCATCATTATGGCGACGCCAACGGAATCGGCAATCGTGCAATCGGAGGAAGACGAGCTTTTCCGCGAAGGTTGCGCGTTTGAGGGGGCTGCGGTGGTTGCGCTCGTGAAGGAAGATGGGGGAATCCACGTTGGCGGAGCGGAAGGCGGGGAAGGCGGAGAGGCCGGGGAGGGGAAAGCTAAGACTATGGAAATTATGTTAGACGACGGAGTGCTGTTTACTTTGGAGCTTGATTCCGGAGAAAAACGGTTAATGGAGCTTGGATACACGCAGGACTTGCAGCGGTCCATGGTGAGACTCTATAACGCGTACATTGCGAATGGAAATTATGTTAGCGTGTGCTGATTACATTGAAGCTTGATTCTGGGGAGAAACGGTTAATGGAGCTTGGACAAACGCAGGACTCGCAACGGTCTATCTGGTAAGACCCTATAGCGGGTACTCTACGAGTTATTTAAAAAACGTCAATTATATGGAAAGGAAATGATGCCACAATTATGATCGGCCCGGTTCGCGTGTTTGCCACTTCCCCCCTCCCCTCACTTTCTGTGGCCCTTATCGTTTTGTGTTGTTTCAGACCCTGTCACCGTGTAGATTGTGCGCTTTAGGCCTTTTTTCTAACGTGTAAACTTCATAAAGCGAGACCTGCTTTCCATTTTCGTTTTTCGGCCCATTCCCACGCCGGCTAACCTCAAACCTGAAGCTTCTCAGTCCTGATTTCTGAAGGCTGAAGAGTCTCAAGAGTCGTAGTTGTAACCATGTAACCCCATCATTCTCCCGTCGCTGCAGAACACGTTTGAGCTGTTCTCGGTGGCGTTCTGCGGCGTGGGCATGTTCCTGGGAATTCCCTACTATGGGTACGTACATTACATGCATGCATGGCCTCATGAGTGGGCATGGTAGGTGCGTGGGCATGGTAGGTGCGTGGGCATGTTCCTAGGGATCCCCTACTATGGGTACGTCACTTTCGCATTGGGACGTGGGCATTGGTGGGTGTGTGGGCATGTCTTAGTCGACTCAAAGTGGTGTGACCGTGTGGGCATGTAACATGAACCTCCTGAGAATTCCCTATTATAAGTGCGTCACAACATGACAGTCACGTGCATGCATGGACTCCCTCTTGCTTGGGGTACTAATTAATTACCACTCCACCTACCTGCCCTGCCATGCACCGACTTTTGGTCCGCTTCAAAAGTGGGGAGGAACGGGGATGAATGGAGGTCTGATTGCTGCTTGGGGTTGCTGATCATCATCTGATTGCTGTTATTCTGTCTAACAACAGATCACCATCTGCAATCCCCCCCCCCCCCCCCCCCCTTCCCCCCCCTCCCCCCCCCCCCCCCCCCCCGCCCTTCCCCCCCCTCCCTCCCACCCCCCACCATCTCCGTTACTGCTTCCTTTCCGTTGCTTATATTACCACCACTTCCCTTCTCCCTCCCCTCGCCCCCCAACACCCCCTTCCCCCCCCCCCTCTCTACCCCAACCCCAATTTCACAATTGTTGCAGCACGGCGTCTCTGAATGGCGGAGCTGTGTGCTGCGTGTGGTTCTGGTGAACACTGCCTTTTTCGTCCCTATATTTGATCCCCGAATCCCTGACTTACACTTCCTCACCCATGCAGCACGGCGTATCTGAACGGCGGTCCGGTGTGCTGCGTGTGGTTCTGGTGGATCACTGCTTTCTTCGCCCACCTGCTCGCCCTCTCGTTTGCTGAAATCGCATCCTCCTTCCCTGTGAGATATGCTATCCCCCTCTCTTACGCTTACTCCTCACACACATGCCAGTGTGTTCCGATGCACACTATTTCACTCACATTCACTCATACTCGCCACACCCACACAGCTTTTTTCGTTGATTTCCTTTTCGTCCCTTCTCCCATCCATCCTCTCGTTTCCTTCTCCCCTCCTCTCTTCTCCCCCTCACTCATCTCCTCTCCGCCTCCCCTAACCTCCTCCCCCGTTTCCCCGGCTCCCGCTCCCATTATCTCCCCTCTGGCCTCCTCTCCCGTTTCCCCTGCTCTCCACTCCGCTCCCCGCGTCCCCTTCCCCTCCCCCCTCTGGCCCCCTTTCCTCCCCCTCCTCTTCCCCACTCCCCTGTACAGACGGCTGGATCGCTCTATTTCTAGGTAGCTGCTCTATGCAACCACGCAAAACACCTCTCCACCGTTCCCCCTCTCGTCCCCCCTCTTCTCCCCTATACAGACAGCTGGATCGCTCTATTTCTGGGCAGCTGCTCTCGCCGGTCCAAAGTACGGCCCGTTTGCAGCATGGATCACTGTGAGTATATCGAGGGGTTCACTAGAGTGTTTTACTGTGTGTGTGTGGTACATGAATGTGGCTTTTCTTGCTGGTCTGACATTTGAGAATCCTCGACAGTCAATAAAGTGCGGCCCGTTTGCAGCATGGATCACTGTGAGTGTATCGAGGTGTTTACTAGAGTGCGTGTGCCAGCGCGGGTCACTGTGACCATAGAGAATGTGCGTCTCTGTCTGGTCTGGACCAAAGTGCAGCCCGTTTGCAGCATGGATCGCTGTGATTATAGCAAGGGGGGGTGCACCAAACCAAAATACTGTCGGCAGATTTTTTAGCCTCCTCAAAACTCGCTGTGAGTATAGCAAGGGGTGCACCAGAGTTGGTTGCATTTCCCTGTGAGCATATGGGCCGGTGCGAGCACAGAACCTATTCCCAAATCCCCACTCCATCCCCTCTCTCACCCTTTCCTCCTCCATCCGTCCGTCCACAAGGCCAGTTGGAGTTTGTGGGGGTGTCAGTGGGAGTGGGGGAGTGGCGTTCGGTTTGGAGTCACTGTTAAGTCGACGCACAATGTCACCTCTACCTTCCCCTCTCACCCCCCCCGTCTGTCTGCCTGCAGGGCTGGTTGGAGTTTGTGGGGGTGTCAGTGGGAGTGGGCGGAGTGGCGTTTGGAGGCATACAGCAGATCATGTCACTCGTGCTGCTTGCTACAGGTGGGTGGGTGGGTGTGAGTGGGTGGGTGGGTGGAAAGATGCTCCATGCTGGGAGGAATGCTCCTTGCAACAGATGGGAGTGCTAGCCACAGGTGGGAGTGGGCGGAGTGGCGTTTGGGGGCATACAGCAGATCATGTCACTCGTGCTGCTCGCTACAGGTGGGTGTCTGGCTAGAGTAAGTGGTGGGCGGGCGGGCGGGTGGGTGGGCGGGTGGTTGGATGGGTGGGATGTTTTAGAGTTTGACACTTTTTATCAGATATGCGGATGATGCCCCGTGCGTTCGTTTGCAAATCATCCTTACTTGATGTATAACACTCATCGCATTTTGAGGCACCTCAAACCTCGTTCACAGACCCGCCTTTACGTCATGACATGTATGTAAGTCGTCGCATCACACCCTACTTTCCCCCTCTCTTCCTTCCCGTCGCCTCGCCCGTTCCCCCACCTACGCGCAGGCGCCACTTCTCCCTCCCCTTCCTTCCCCTTCCCTCTCCCTTTCCCCTCCCTTTCCCCTCCCTTCCCCCTCCCTTTCCCCTCCCTTCCCCTCCCTTCCCCCTCCCTTCCCCGCGCTGTTTTGCAGGCGGCATCAATGCGGGGAAATATCAATTTCCAGACTACCTCCAGCTCCTGGCGTGTGTGCCTTTCATTCCCTCTCAATCCCATCTGTGCTGTCCCGTTCATCCCACCTACTTATCCCCCAGGCGGCATCAATGCGGGGGGGTACGAATTTCCAGACTACCTGCAGTTCCTGGCATGTGCGGCGCTCATTCTGGTCTGTGCAGCCATCAACGTCCTCCCCGTCAAGCGAGTGGGGCAAGTGCTGGCTGTCGGCACAGTGGTGCAGGTGAGGGGGATGGATGGGCCATCCATGGGTGGTGCAGGTGCGACGTACCTTCCATGGGTGGTGCAGGTGCGACGTACCTTCCATGGGTGGTGCAGGTGCGACGTACCTTCCATGGGTGGTGCAGGTGCGACGTACCTTCCATGGGTGGTGCAGGTGCGACGTACCTTCCATGGGTGGTGCAGGTGCGACGTACCTTCCATGGGTGGTGCAGGTGCGACGTACCTTCCATGGGTGGTGCAGGTGCGACGTACCTTCCATGGGTGGTGCAGGTGCGACGTACCCATGCCCCAATCTCTGCTCATTCTGGACTCTGCCGCCATCAACGTTCTCCCCGTCAAGCGAGTGGGGCAAGTGCTGGCTGTCGGCACAGTGGTGCAGGTGAGGGGGATGGATGGGATGGGCCATCCATGGGTGGTGCAGGTGCGACGTACCCATGCCCCCGTCTCTCCTCATTCTGGACTCTGCCATCATCAACGTTCTCCCCGTCAAGCGAGTGGGGCAAGTGCTGGTCGTGGGGACGGTGCTGCAGGTGAGGGATAGAGGGAGAGAGAGCGCGGGTGCGTGAGTGGTGCAGGTGTGACGTATGCGGGACAATGAATGAACACATCTGCACTCATTCTCGTGTGTGCAGCCATCAACGTCCTCCCCATCAAGCGCGTGGGGTTGGGGGGGGCAAGTGCTGGCCGTGGGGACGATGCTGCAGGGGAGGGAGCATGTTTTCTACACTTATGCTGCACGGGGTTGGTTGTGGGGTTGGTTGTGGGGTTGGTTGTCCTTGTCAGTACACTCTTTCCCTGTTTCCTCCTCTGCCTCTTTCCCTGTTTCCCCCTCTGCCTCTTTCCCTGTTTCCCCCTCTGCCTCTTTCCCTGTTTCCCCCTCTGCCTCTTTCCCTGTTTCCCCCTCTGCCTCTTTCCCTGTTTCCCCCTCTGCCTCTTTCCCTGTTTCCCCCTCTGCCTCTTTCCCTGTTTCCCCCTCTGCCTCTTTCCCTGTTTCCCCCTCTGCCTCTTTCCCTGTTTCCCCCTCTGCCTCTTTCCCTATGTCCTCCTCTGCCTCTTTCCCTGTTTCCCCCTCTGCCCTCTCGGCCCCTTTCTCACCAGATTCTTGTGGCATTCGTGTTTATAATCACTCTCCCTGCTGCCACATTCACACTCATGATCTTCTTCCCTCCCCCCCCTCCCCCCCCCCGGCCTTTCCCTGTCTCTTCGCTCTCCCTGTTTCTTCCCTCGCCCCCCCCTTACTTCACCAGATTCTGGTGGCATTCGTATTTATAATCACCCTCCCTGCAGTCGCAAAGACCCATCAGCCAGCATCGTGGGTGTTTGGTCACTTTGAGGTGCAATACAGCATCACAGGCATCCCCAACGGGGTGAGTCAGTCTCTTATTGAGTGAGTCTCATAATACACACGAGGGTTCTCAATGCATGTCTCAGGCTTGTGGGTGTTTGGACACTTTGAGGTGCAATAGAGCATCGCAAGCATTCCCAACGGAATGAGTATCTGTGGGCTTTGTGGGTGTTTAGGTACTGTTCGGACGTGAGTGATTTCTGAGTGATTTCTCATCAGTGAGTGTGATTTCTGTACCGCTTCTCTCAAGCCCGTGTTCACTCAAACGCGGCAGCAACAGGCCTCCTCATGCCGCAAATTGAGACAATTTTCTAGGCGCTTCAAAATTCGTCTCAGTTCATGCGATTTTTTAGGCGCCTAAAAAATCGTCGCAGAAGCAGGCCTCCATGCCGCAATGCACGCTCTATGCATGCGACGCAGTACTCACACATTGGAAGAGGCGAAATTCAACTGCTCGTTGGCCCTGTTCCCATTGCTCCCACTCCCATACATATGCGGTGATAGCCGGCCTCCTCATGCCGCAATACACCCTCTATGCATTCGACGCAGTGGCACACACGCCAGAGGAAGCGAAGTGAAGCATGCAGTGTGTGTCTCCTACGGCGCTGACGAAGGCCTCACGGCCGAAACGCGTTTGCCTACGTTCTTTACTGAAGTTGGACTTACCAAGTCCTGATTCTGCCTTTTTTCCACTCGAAGTACTCCTAGCTGTTAGTCAAGAATTTTGAGGAGACCCTACGCTTGCTGCGGCTCGAATCCATATTTTCACACGCCAGAGGAGGAGAAGTGAATCATGCAGTGTGTGTATCCTTCATTCCTCTATTCCTTCTTTATACTTTCAACTTAAAACCCAGGCATATGCAGTGGTAGCAGGGCTGCTCATGTCGCAATACGCGCTCTACGCATTCGACGCAGCGGTGCGCACGTCAGAAGAAGCAACACTGTGACCATTCCTTCTCTCCCCTCCCCTCCCCTCCCCTCCCCTCCCCTCCCCTCCCCTCCCCTTTGGTTTCCAGGAATATGCGGTGGTAGCAGGCCTCCTCATGTCGCAATACGTGCCCTACGCCTTCGATGCAGCAGCCCACACGTCAGAAGAGGCGAACCGAAGCAGGAAGTGTGTGCATGATTCCTTTGTTCCTTCCCCTCCCCTTGCACCCAGGCATACGCGGTGGTATGGTAGCTGGCCTCCTCATGTCGCAATATGTGCTCTACACTTTCGATGCAGCGGCTCACATGTCAGAAGAGGCAAAGCGGTTTACTGCATTCCTCCCTTCCTGTCCCCTTTGGTTGATTCCACTCCAGGCATACGCGGTGGTAGCCGGGCTCCTAGTTTTGAGGCGCCTCAAAACTAGTCCTCCCTTCCTGTCCCCTTTGGTTGATCCCACTCCAGGCATGCGCGGTGGTGGCCGGGCTCCTCATGTCTCAATACGCGCTCTACGCATTCAATGCAGCTCATTCACACATCCCAGGCATGCGCGGTGGTGGCCGGGCTCCTCATGTCTCAATATGCGCTCTACGCATTCAATGCAGCTCATTCACACATCCCAGGCATGCGCGGTGGTGGCCGGGCTCCTCATGTCTCAATACGCGCGTTGATGCAGCAGCTCATGTGATGCAGCTCATTCACACATGTGAAGAAGCAAAAGTACTAAACTATTCTTTCTCTCCGTTCCCCTTCTGATTGTTCCCATCCCAGGCATATGCCGTGGTAGCCGGCCTCCTCATGTCGCAGTATGCCCTCTACGCATTCGATGCAGCGGCACACACGTCAGAAGAGGCGAAGCGGTCCGACGTGACGACGCCGTTTGCCATGATAGCCGCCCTCTCAGTCATCTGCTTCGTGGAGTGGGGCGTCATTGTGGCTCTCACCTTCTGCATCCAGGTATATGTGTGTGTGTGTGTCTGGTAGCACACCGGTAATTCTGTGCTGACCGTGCTGTTGTGCTGCACACGAGATCAGATGATGAGACAGCACAGGTCAGCACAGCACATGGTAGCTGCCCTCTCACTCACTCATCGTCTTCGTGGAGTGCGGTGTCATCGTGGCCCTCACATTCTGCATTCAGGTGTGTTGGTGCTGCACTGTGAACCGGTCAGCACAGGTCAGCTTAGATCAGCAAAGGTCAGCACATGTCAGCACAGGTCAGAACACGTCAGCACAGGTCAGAACAGGTCAGAACAGGTCAGAACAGATCAGCACGGGTCAGCACAGGTCAGAACAGGTCAGAGCAGGTCAGCACAGGTCAGCACAGGTCAGCACAGGTCAGCACAGGTCAGCACAGGTCAGCACAGGTCAGCACAGGTCAGCACAGACAGATGAGCAGCACAGACCAGCACAGCACCTGACCTGACTGATAGCTGCCCTCTCAAGTATCAGCTTTACATAGTCGCTCTCACCGACTGCATTTATGTGTGGTGCTCCACCTCCTCTCCTCTCCTCTCCTCTCCTCTCCTCTCCTCTCCTCTCCTCTCCTCTCCTCTCCTCTCCTCTCCTCTCCTCTCCTCTCTCCCTGCTTGCCCCAGCAGGACCCAGAGAACCTGCTTTCAAAGGAAACGGTTACTGGCTGGGACTCTCTCAAGTGTCTTTGGAAGCGCCTCAAAGGTTTCTCTCCTGCTCCTCTCCTCTCTCCCTGCTGGCCTCGGCAGGACCCAGCGAACCTGCTTTCAGAGGACACGGTCACTGGCGGGGACTTTACCGAGGTGCAGATCCTATGGGACGTGTTCTATGGCAGGTATGTCGTGGGGCAGACAGGTGGGTTGTGGGGCAGACAGGTGGGTTTGTGAGTTCCTGGGTCCCTTCCTCATCTCCTTCTTCCCGTTGTGCTTCGCCCCCCGCACGTGCCTCCCGTTCATTCCCTTTTTTCTTTCTCAGGTAGGGCAGCGGTGCGGTTGCATGTGTGCTCCTGGTTGCGGTGCGGTTGCGTGTGTTTTCCTGGTTCGCTTCTTCCTTTCTTCGCCACCATCACCACCATGTTTCCCTCTCATGCCTGTTCTTTTGCCCCCTCCTCCTCCTCCATGTTAGCCACGTGTTGAGACGTCTCAAAAACACCCTCTCTACACGTGGCCTCCAGTCCAATCTCCTCTTCATTCTTTGAGACGTCTCAAAAACGCCCTCTCTACATGTGGTTACTCTCATGCCTGTTGTTTTGCTCCCTCCTCCTCCATGTTAGCTTCGGCAGTGGCACGGGTGCCTGTGCCTTCCTTGTTCTCTTCTCTTCTCTTCTCTTCTCTTCTCTTCTCTTCTCTTCTCTTCTCTTCTCTTCTCTTCTCTTCTCTTCTCTTCTCTTCTCTTCTCTTCTCTTCTCTTCTCTTCTTCATCTCCTTCTTCCTCCCCATTTTGTTCCCCCCCGCCCCCCCATGCATGCCTCCCGTGCCTGCCTGTTGATTTTTCTCAGGTTCGGCAGCCGCACGGCTGCCTGTGTCTTCCTTGTTCTCTTCTCTTCTTCATCGCTTTCCTCCCTCTTCGAAATGCTTTTTTCCCCTATGCATGCTTCTTGTGCCCCTTGTTATCCCTTCCACTCAGGTACGGCAGCGGCGCAGGTGCCTGTGTGTTCCTTGGTCTCTTCTTCATCTCTTTCTTTTTCGCCACCATCACTCTCATCCTTGCTGCTGCCCGCGTGGTGAGTTGGATTGGTGGTGTGTGGTGTGGTGCCGTTTGGTGTGGTGTGGTGTCGTGTGGTGTGGTGTGGTGGTACAGTGCGGTGTGGTGTGGTGCGGTGTGTTCCTTAGTCTTTTCTTCACCTCCTTCACCACCATCACCCTCATCCTTGCTGCCCCCCGCCCCGCATGGTGAGTTTGATGGGTGCGGTGCGGTACAGTGCGGTGCGGTGTATGTGGTGCAGTGGTGTTCTAGGTCTCTTCTTCATCTCTTTCTTTTTCGCCACCATCACTCTCATCCTTGCTGGCGCCCGCACCAGTGTCATCACCCTGTCCCTTCCCTTCCCTACTGTCTCATCCACCCTCTCTTCCACAGGGTTATGCCTTGTCTCGGGACAGGGGTCTCCCTCTCTCTTTCCTGTGGCGCCGGGTGAGGTGACTCTTGAGTCGACTCAAAAGTCACCTCTGTCCCTTCCCTTCCCTTCCCTATTGTCTCATCCACCCTCTCTTCCACAGGGCTCAGTTGCGAAAGACTCGTCCTGCGTCTTTTGCAACTAAGCCACAGGGTTATGCCTTGTCTCGGGACAGGGGTCTCCCTCTCTCTTTCCTGTGGCGCCGGGTGAACTCCAGCAAGGCACCAGTGAGCGCCATAGCGTGCACCAGCAATGCCTTCAACCCATCCCTCCCTCCCCTGCCCGCTTTCCTCAGGGCTACGCCTCGTCTTGCGACCGTGGCCTCCCTTTTTCTTTCCTGTGGCGCCGGGTGAACTCCAGCAAGGTGCCGGTGAACGCCATGGCGTGCACCAGCTCCATCGCCCTGTCCCTGCCCTTCCCTACTGTCTATTCCAACCCCTCCCCCACGCCCTACTTGCTTTCCCCCAGGGTTATGCCCTGTCTCGCGACCGCGGCCTCCCCTTGTCTTTCCTGTGGCGGCGGGTGAACGCAGACAAGGTCCCAGTGAATGCCATAGCGTGCACCAGCGCCATTGCCATCGTCTTCCTCATGCCTCTGCTCGGAGGCTCCGTGGCCTACTTTGCCGTCACCGGCATGGCCACCGTGGGGTGGTTCGGCGCATACGGAGTGCCGGTGTTCTTCCGGATTATTCAATCTGATAAGGACTTCGCTCCGGGGCCCTTCTACCTGCCCAACTACATTGGGCACACGGGCGGGTGAGCATGGGCGGGGAGGTGGGTCCGGGAGAGAGAGAGAGGGGGAGATGGGGAGAGAGAGGTGGGGGGGAGGGAGAGGGAGAGGAGGGGAGGGAGAGGGAGAGGGGAGGAGGGGGAGAGGAGGGGAAAGGGGGGAAAGATGGCGATGGTAGGGTGGTTCGGCGCGTACGGAGTGCCGGTGTTCTTCCGGATCATCCAGTCGGACAAGGACTTTGCTCCGGGGCCCTTCTACCTGCCCAACTACATTGGGCACACGGGCGGGTGAGTAGGAGGGAGAGGAGAGAGATGGGGAGACGGGGAGAGGAAGGGTCTAAAGATGGCCACCGTGGGGTGGTTCGGCGCATACGGAGTGCCGGTGTTCTTCTGGATCATCCAGTCGGACAAGGACTTTGCTCCGGGGCCTTTCTACCTTCCCAACTATATGGCCACACGGGCGGGTGAGCATGGGCGGGGAGGTGGGTCCGGGAGAGAGAGGGGGGGAGATGGGGAGAGAGAGGTGTGGGGGAGGGAGAGGGAGAGGGGGAGAGGAGGGGAAAGGGGGGAAAGATGGTGATGTTGGGGTGGTTCGGCGCGTACGGAGTGCCGGTGTTCTTCCGGATCATCCAGTCGGACAAGGACTTTGCTCCGGGGCCTTTCTACCTGCCCAACTACATTGGGCACACGGGCGGGTGGAGGTAGAGAAGGAGAGAGGAGGGGGGGAGAGGTAAAGCAAGGGGTGAGGGCCATGGTGAAATGAGGACACTAAACTCGCCCTCCCCTTACAACCTGTTCATCACTCCCCGTCTCTTTCATACCCCTCCTCTTCACTCCACTTATTCTGCTTTCTTTCTCCCCCTTTCTCCATGTCCTTCCCCTTATCCCCCTCGCCCTCTGTCCTTCCCCTTATCCCCCTCGCCCTCTGTCCTTCCCCTTATCCCCCTCGCCCTCTGTCCTTCCCCTGATCCTTCTTTTCCTTTCCAGCAAGTGTGTCCACGTTCTCGCTCTCACATACGTAGTCTACACCATGGTTGTTTTTGTTATCCCGACGGAATATCCTGTAACGGCGGAAAATTTCAACTACGCTGCTGTTGGAATTGTGGTCGTAGTGGCCATGTTCCTTCTATGGTGGTTTCTTGACGCTCACCGGTGGTTCAAAGGCCCAAAGATTGCAAAGCAAGAGGACCAGGTGGACGCAAAACCACAGGAGCAACAGGAGCAATACCAGGTGGGTCGCTGGTTCCAGTAGTTGTCGGTTACGACATACCATATGTAGTAATAAAGAGGTTGTACGTAGTCTCAGCCTCTCAACATGCTGGATTAGCAACATTCATTTTTTGCAATGGTTTTTTATTAGTATATAATCGCGTAGGGGCCGTCGCACAAGGAAGGCTTAGCCTGTGTGAGTTGCTTGATGTGGATCCACCTCTTATGGTGATTATTGAGCGACTTGTATTGTGACTGAAGAAACATGTAGAGGAATCAGACTTTGTTGTAGCGAACTTCGAGGTTTGGGGACAATCTCAGCAGTCTCGATCTGTTGGGAAAATCTCGTTTTGTACTTTCTGATTAGCTGCCAATCACTTCCACCAATAGATGATCTAGAAGAATATCAGCCAGACCAACCCAACCCAATCCCATGAATCCGCGGACATGGAATCTCAAACTTCCAACGATTCCTTTCCCAGTGTCGAACCTGCGTCGACGTGGCGCGGTGCTAATGGTATGTCCTTTCCCCACATGAAATGTGCTTGAAAAGGCCACGTGTGCATAATCGATGGTCTTCGGCCTCCACCGATGACCCGATACGCGTCAGCACATAACGAAACAGACGCAGCGTTGACCACATGACACCGTGTGTCAAGACGCATCAACAAGAAAGCGTGTGAATGGGGTAATGACTCGATGCCACGTGTACTTCCATTTCCATCCGCACGCACACCGTCCGAAGCACATGGTTGGCTGTCAGTCCCCGCTTTTTCCGAGCTAATCGCTTCGCTTTCATCCTTCACACACCTCGCGTGTGTCTTGTCCCGAGGCATCGCTGATCACACGCTGGGATGGGTGGGTGGCCCACTCATGCTTTTCGTTTTGATGCTCCACATACTGTACTGTACCCAGCCATGCTTCGTGAAAGTTCATCCCTCGTTTGACATCTCAACCGTTCATACCTGCTTTCAGGGAATCTGCTGGCCGAATCGCCGGATCTCAACCGTAGAGCCAGTGCAGCTGAGTATATTCCCAAGAGACCAAACTGAACAGGTTCACAAGCACATCGAACTCACATCGGCTGCGTTCTGCAGGCATTTCCCTTGGGAGGGAGGTGGGGGGCGAAGGGAAATGACGAGGGTTCTAAGACAGTTTCCCCTTCGATCCCCCCCCCAAACCGCTACAATCGAAAGTTGGAAATTTCGGGTTTAGGGTGCGAAGCTGCTGAAGGTAAATGCCGAAAAAACAGCCACAATTTCCACCGCACAGAATTTGGGTAGATAGAGCTGCGCGAAATCAGAACAAGGGTTGAAGTTTAGAGAAGAGTTACCACGTAGAAAAAAAAAAGGGTCCCGAGCACTCCCTCCAGCAATACACAAACCTCACTGTGTTTTTTTTTTTCCTGTTAGTTTGACGCGTCCCTGTTTGGGCTACTTAAGGGAGGTTCTGTTTGCTTTCTAGGGTTCAACCGTGGTGTTCCCTAACCCCCGCCTCCCTCCCCCCTCCGTCTCACATCCAGGGCAAGAACAGTTTTCGAAAGGGGGGGAGGAGGAGGCGAATTTTGCCAGAGAAGGAAGCTGGGGTGGGGAAATAGGCAGCTTCCTACGCCCTCATAACCTCGAGGGTAAATGGCTGTTCTGTTGCCATTTACCTTCGTTTACGTTCGGAGGGTAAATGGCAGGCTCGGATCCATTTTCCGGGCTGACCGGGCGTTTGATCCAAAAAACGCAGTTGGGGGAAGGTTCCTATTCACCGCCTCCCCCCCCTCTGTCGTGCCTGCAGAACGCAGCCTTCCTCTCACAGTTGCGAATCACCCCTCATCTTTCCTCGCTGCTTTCCGGGTCCACCCAAGATCGAGAGGTTCTTATGTTCATTGCATCACCCCATCTCCCATACATCACTGAGCGTCGCCAAATCCTCGTGCTCTCTACACATTTTCTAGCCGTGACTGACGGTAAGGGTAGAGAGTGTCAGTTCCGCGGTTCTTGATTGTTGTCAGCGGAGCGCGAGGAGGCGCAGGCTTCTCTCGATCCAGCCCGCGCTTGGTGGAACATAAGAGGCTGCAGGAATTTAAGACTTCGAGCTTCTTGCCCTTCGCTTGCAGGGTTGAGCGCCCTTCGGTTGGGCGATCGTGTACCTAGCGACGACCTTTCAGGTGCCTCAGAAATCGATCGCTTTCCTTTGCGTCGTGTCAAGACTGTACGGATTGAAAGCCCTTTGTTGCACAGCGTGTGTGTTCTTAATCTCCTCCCGTTCGTTTCAACGCGAGTAGTAACCATGGCGACAGGAGCAGCAAAAGCCGCCTTGCGGACTCCTTTAGCAGCACACTACTCACCGGTACAGTCACACGTTTCACCACAAGCCCTCTCTAATGCCACGCCGATGGCACTACCGCACAGAACGGACTATCGCCACGAACGATGCGGCGTATCCTGGCTAAGCCTTTCGCCGTTTCATGTCAAAACTACGCAGAACCAGTTGGTTCGTAGCAATCCAGCTCGGTACAGCTCGGTTCGGTGTGCTCTTCAAAAAGAACGGAAACGACAAGAGGCTGACAGACTTTGGGATGTCCCTAACGGCGTCAAGCACATACAGCCTTTCCATCACGACTCTTATAACGAGGATAACCATGGGGCTTTCCCGCATGACGTGATTCTGGAGTCCCGTCAAAACGCGACTGCTCATCGATTGAATCCCGATGCTACCCGTCAAGAAGCAGACGCGAATGACTCTCCTGAATCCTCGCTAACATTAGTGACTCACTCCCAGGCTGCTGACGTGGCGATTGAGAAGTCAGGTGACGTGGCAGCTGACGTGGCAGCTGCTGTGGATTCCGAAGCGGACGGCGAGGTTGTAAGCAAGGAAGCGTCGATCGGCGGCACGCTGGCCGCGGGAGCGCTGATAATAAGCGTCGTCGCGTCGCTGGCGCTGCTGGGATACATGTATAAGGACGAAATCTCGGGCGCGATTGATTACTTCACAACGTACATTGAAGGCGCGGGACCCGGGGGATATGTGACGTTCGTTTTAGGGTACTCGCTTCTGGAGGTGCTCGCGGTGCCGGCTATTCCGCTGACTCTGTCCGCCGGTGTGCTTTTCGGCCCGGTCTTGGGCACGTTCCTCTGCAGCCTCTCCGGCACGGTGCGTGATTGTAACGCGCGGGCCTCTGGTTGGTTGGCCAATCATGCTTGCTTGCGTCATGCTTGCTTGCGTCTCCTTCCTCCCTTTCTCGCCCGCAATGCCGTCCCTCGCCATTCTCCGACTTGAGGGTTGACTCAACATTCATGGACATGGGAAACACACAGAGAAGAGAGTGGTCTGCTTTTTCCTCCTTGCTGTTTTCATTTTCCAACTCTTTATCCGCTCGTCTTTCTCCTCCCCTCCCCACCCCCTTTTCGCCCGCTTCCCCGCGTGTTCCAGATTTCCGCGACAGTCGCGTTCCTGATCGCGCGGTACGTGGCGCGCGATCGCATTCTGGAGATGGTGCGAGGCAACAAAAAGTACGAAGCGATCGACCGCGCCGTGGGGAACAACTCGTTCCGCATCGTCACTCTTCTGCGCCTCAGCCCGCTCATGCCCTTCTCCCTCGGGAACTACTTTTACGGGCTCACTTCCGTGAAGCTTCTCCCATACATCTTTGGAACGTGAGTTATGATGTAGACTGTTGCACGTATCACTGTAAACGCGTTGTCACTCTGCTGCGCCTCAGCCCCCTGATGCCGTTCTCTCTGGGAAACTACTTTTACGGGCTCATTTCCGTGAAGCTTCTCCCATACATTCTTGGAACGTAAGTTGTGATGTAGTGTGTTATATTTATCGCCATCAGCCTATTGTCACTCTGCTGCGCCTCAGCCCCCTCATGCGCTTCTCTCTCGGGAACGTCTTGTGCGGGCTCACTTTCGTGAAGCTGCTCCCATGGATTGTTGGAACGTTGGAACTTAAGTTGTGATGTAGACTGTTCGACGTTTCACTGTAAGCTCATGGTCACTCTGCTGCATTACCCCCTCCTAGCACCACCCTTTCCCCTGAGCCCTGCGCCACCCACTCCCTACGCCATCCCTCTCCTCGCATCACCCCTCTCCTCGCATCACCCCTCTCCTCGCATCACCCCTCTCCTCGCATCACCCCTCTCCTCGCATCACCCCTCTCCTCGCATCACCCCTCTCCTCGCATCACCCCTCTCCTCGCATCACCCCTCTCCTCGCATCACCCCTCTCCTCGCATCACCCCTCTCCTCGCATCACCCCTCTCCTCGCATCACCCCTCTCCTCGCATCACCCCTCTCCTCGCATCACCCCTCTCCTCGCATCACCCCTCTCCTCGCATCACCCCTCTCCTCGCATCACCCCTCTCCTCGCATCACCCCTCTCCTCGCATCACCCCTCTCCTCGCATCACCCCTCTCCTCGCATCACCCCTCTCCTCGCATCACCTCTCTCCCTGCACCGCCCCTGCGTCGCTCCTCCAGCAGGCGACAGTCCCAGAGGATTCTGTGTCGTCATTTGTGTCGCCTTTTGTGTCACCCTTGTGCGTCGTTTTGCCCTTTGTCAGTGTAAAGCGTAATTTTCTCACATTGCATCATTCCCCCCGCGTGTTTCCCCTGTTACCACATGCCAGGTGGATTGGCATGCTGCCAGGCACGTGGGCATATGTCAGCGCCGGGTCCTTTGGCCGCTCCCTTTTGGTACGATTCTCTTTGATCGAGTGGTCCACTCCACTTATGATGCAACCTCTGTGATTCTTCAAGCAGGACCTTCATCTGCTTCCGAATTTAGTAACCATTCGGCACGATGGCATATGCACTATATACACCGTTTACCTGCTGTCGTCTCCTTGGCCCCACCCCCCTCTCTCCCCCCGTCCTCCCCGCTTACCACACCCATCCCCCTCCTACCTTCCATTCTGCCTGTCTAAGAGGCAGAGAGAGGAAGCTCGTTGCTGGGGTACTCATGTCATCTCTTTGGCCGTTTCTTAGGCGCTTCAAAAGACCCAATTTTCTCTTTTTTTCTCGTCCTCAGGAGGCGGAGAGTGGAAGCTCACTGCTAGGTGACTCGTCTCTCTATTCGCTGCTGGGTGGGGTGGCCCTCACTGCCTTTGCCGCCACTTACATCACCAAAATCGTGCAGGTAAGGGATTGGGTTGGGCTGGGCGCATAGGACTGCCTGATAAAGAGCTGTTTCCCTACCAGTATTCTTCCTTTCCAGTTGTTGACTCTTTGTACTGTGCTTACTGTTACTCTTGTAGCTGCTATGCCACCTTTTGAGCTGTCTTGGAAGTAGTCATGTGCAGTACAGTGCACTCATTAGCTACACTGCTCACTGTATACATGTAACTATCGCGTTACTATTTTTCATCCCTCCGTCTGCCTGGTTTGCTCAGGATGCTGTGAAGGAAGCGGAGTAGAGCGACCAACCGGACAGTGACTCACTAATGTGCATATACTACATGAGCTGGAAGCGAGGATTGAATGCCAGGGATTCCAGTGTAGGTGGGGGTCATGTGGTGACGAATGATATGCCTCGGCCAAATTCTTGCGTGTCTATGATGCTTATGTTGGAATACAGCTAATAATAACAACTGCATGCTGCTTGAGAATCAGAATATAGTATAATAAGTGGAACACTTTTCAATTGAACAAAAAAAAAAAATGTTTTCAGACGATTCTCAGCATGTCAGGATGGCCGAGTTGGTCTAAGGCGCCAGTTTCAGGTACTGGTCCGAAAGGGCATGGGTTCGAATCCCATTCCTGACAGCTTCTTGGAAACGTCAAAGCTTTTATCGAACCTACGCAGGTTCGAAGTTTAACGTGGTTTAAATAGGTTTTAGAAATCTTAAATGCGTTAAGCAGGTATTCAGTGCGTTGTCACTTCAAGCTCGTTCTTGTCCCAGGCTCGGTATTACACAGCCTACATCTCGATGTTGGCCAGTATCGCGAAATGATCCGTGTTTCGAAATGATCCCGGGATCATGTTACTTGTAACGCGTCCTTAACTGCTTTTGTACGTCGCATGGTAAGCATCTGCACCGTTCGATGAACTGCTGATTGCCAGAGATGGCGGTAACCGTCTTGTTATACATCCGACGAAAACACAAACGACAACGACGAGGATTTAAACGACGAGTTTCGCTACACGGGCAGAGCGTTTCGCTAGGTCACTCATTCGCCATCCCACAGTCGCCATAGGCATCCGAAACGCAGCCAGTGGCCGCGATGCCAGCGCCGCGAGAGAGGATGCGTGAGGGCTGTGCGGCCAGGCAGGCTGGGATGGGGGGGAGGTAGATTTGGAAATTTGGGCTAAGCAGGGGGAGGGGTTGGCGGAGAGAAGGGAGGGGGATTCCCTCCAATCCCCCCACGGTAGTTTGCGCATTTCACCTGCGGCTCGTTTCGCCCCGTCACTAGTTCTCTTTGCTCCTAGAAGAAACTTCCCAGCAGTCCAAGAAATATCGAAGCAGCGACTAGCTAACAGAGTTTCCTGCTGGAGGCCCGAGGCGCAGAATCCTGGCGCTGCGGATTGGCGCAGCAGCTTAGTTGGCAGCAGCTCGTAGCTAGTCTGGCGAATCCCGCGCGGCTTCGGAAGAACGTGCTTCTAGCGAGCCAAGCCGAGAAGCGTCAATGACGAGGCCCTCCTCTCAATTACTACTACTAGTAGTACCAATGCGCATTGTTGGACGCAACGAAGCACTCTTTATCTGTGGCGACGCAAGCGAAGAGCCAAGTGGCCTTTCACGCCATTGCCCACTAGTTGGTGCGGTCGGTAGTATATGTCACAAGAAGCTAATTCAACCGAACCCTAATTCTGTCCAACTTCAGCGACACGACGCGCTCAGACCTGGTTTCTGATTGTCGCTCACAGATTCGTTCAGGCGTCCATAATTTCAACCGGGACGTGTCCAGAGAATCCTTATTAGCATTCCATAAGACTGGATATATTATCCATTACCAAACCAGTGTCCAGGGACTGGATTCGCAAGGTCTTGTAGAAGTTCAGTTCCGAACAAGCACTGAACCTCAGGGACTGGATACGGAGGGTTCCCGAACGAGCACTGAACGCGATGGAAATTCGTCGATGTCGCTCAGTTTCCCGGTCACGGGTCAGCGTGAGCTGCCTGCTTGCACTACTTATCCTTGCCAAAAGCAGCCTCGTTAACGGGCAACAAGGTGAGAGCTTGATCAATGTGATTAAAGGGCGTTCTTTTGGTGCCTTCGTAATGTTGCCGAAAGGGTATGCGTACGCCTTATCATATGCCACACTCCAACACTCCGTTCGTTTGCAGCTGACCAATCAGAAATCATCTTGGAGCCCCAGCAACCATCGCAAAATGACACATCCGAAGCCGCTCCGCCGCCAACACCTGAAATTCCACCTGAAACTGCGCCAGAATCGCAACCTGCGCCCACTCCTGAAACGCCAGGAGAAACCTTCAACGGGTCTACCTCCAATATAACGGGAAATCCGCCGGAAATCCCGATACTGGACCATCCAGTCGACAAGGTTATCCCGTCGGCCGTATCTGACGTGTACGTCATCCGTCTCCGCGCCGCCCCACCAATCGCGGGCTACACTGGCGGAATCAACGGGATTCCCGCCACGGCAGCGGAGGCTGTCAGAGACTCTGTGTCTGACGTCATCAATTCAGTGGCCGGCCGGATTCGCAGGTGGCGTCGCCGAGCGAATCGCCAATCGTCGCGACTGAACCTGGGGTCGCCTGCTGTCGCACAGTTCAAGCAGTGGCTCGATCGGCTGCAGGATGGAGTTGCGAATGACGTGCGCCTGCCGCGCGCGAATGTACTGTACAAGTGAGTTTGTAACACCTAGTTGAAGCAAATACTGTAGCTTCATACAGTATTTGAGATTTTTCTCCTCCGCCTTCCTTTCTGCTCCCTTTCTGCTCCCTCTGCCAGGTAATCACTCTTTTCTTTCTGCCCGCTTTCTCCCCCTCCTCCTCAGGTTCAAACACGTCAGCAATGCCTTTGTGGCGCGTTTGTCGCCTAAGCAGCTGCAGCAGCTGAAGCGCCACCCAGCAGTTGCGGAAGTCAAATCCAACTACCGAATCAGCAAGCTCACCACCGACTCCGCAAACTTTCTAAACCTGCCCGGGACTCTCTGGACCGCCCGGGGCCGCGAGCGGGCAGGGGAAGGCGTGGTGGTGGGAATAGTCGACACGGGTATTTGGCCAGAACACCCTTCGTTTTCCTCGAATGTTACCCCACCTGACCTGCCGTATCCTAACCCTCCACCTACCTGGAAAGGCACCTGTCAAGTGACGTCTGATTTCAAGTGCAACAGAAAGGTGATTGGCGCGAGATTTTTCAACGCCGGTTTCCGGTCGTGGTTCGGGCAGGAAGACTTGCGAGCTGATTGGGCGTCGGCTCGGGATGCGGACGGGCACGGCACCTGGTGTGCATCGTGAGTGATCAATACCCCTTTGCCTCTCGCTTTCCTGCTTATTTCAGCACTCTAAAATATTATCATGTCTTCTACTGGCCTTGCCCTTGTGTCTAATGCCTGCAGCTCTCACTGCTTGTATGGCTGGAACACCCAACGCCCTTTTTACTCTACCCTGCTTCGTCCCCCTGATTTCCCTCCGTCTCCCCCCTCCTTTCCCACCCAATATTGCAGAGCGGCTGCAGGCAACAGCAACGTGCCCATTCTGTTACCTCCCCGCAAGACAACCATTGGCAACGCAACCGGCATGGCACCCCGGGCTTTCCTTGCAGCCTACAAGGTCTTCTGGGGGAACGCCAACGCAGGCGGGGTCACTGCCACGTATGCTGACGTGGAGGCAGCAGTCAACGCGGCTGTCGCTGACGGGGTTGACGTCATCTCGCTCTCTCTGGGCGGCGCAGACCCCAGTGCCACGTATTTCAGCGATCTGCCGTATTTATACGCGAATCTGGCCGGCACAGTGGTGGTTTATGCAGCGGGGAACTCCGGTCCGCCTCCTCTCACCTCCTCAATGTATCGCAGCATCTCCAACTTCTCGCCGTTCTACCTCACTGTTGGCGCCAGGTGGGTTTCCAGGTGCTTTCTGTTGGCACCAGGTACAGCTTCAGGTGTTTTTATGTTGGGATGTTTCAGGTGCTTTTTTGTTGACGCCAGGTGAATATTCAAGTGCTTTCTGCTGGCGCCAGGTGAGTGCTCGGGTACCCTTGGAAGGGAGTCGCTATGTGTTTATTCCAGGCCATGGGCGTGTGCCAAGTGAAGGCCATGGGGGTTACACCGCCATTGATTACGTACTCATTCTACCTCACCCCCTCCCTCCCCTGCCCTCGTCTCTCCCTCCCTGCAGCACCATCGCTCGCAGCTACGTCTCTTCAGCCACGCTGGGCGACGGGCGGGTCGTGAAGCTCTATGGCTTTGGCTCGGGGAACGTGCCGGTGCAGAGACTGGGGTTGGTGGATGGGATCGCGGTGCGCGCAGCAGGGAAGACTGAGACCGAGGTGAGGAGTGGAAGCATTAAGTGTTGATGTCCGGTTGGCTCTCACGCAGGGTCGTGGTGAAGCTGTATGGGTTTGGCTCGTGGAATGTGGTGGTGCAGAGACTGGGATTGGTGGATGGGATCTCGGTGCGAGCAGCAGGGAAGACTGAGACCGAGGCGGGTGTGGGGAAGGGCAGATGTGCTTGAATCTCAGTGTCTGGATGGCCTTCAGGCATGTTTGTGACTCGTGAGGCTGTACGGTTTTTGCTCGGTACTTAACTGGTGCTTTACTCACTCCCCCTTCATCCTTCATCCTCCAGGGTCAGTACTGCTTTGCAGGCACACTGTTTGAAGAAACTTAAGTGTTTTGAGACGTCTCAAGGCACACTAAGGACTGCAGGCAGGATTGCAGGCAGGACTGCAGGCAGGATTGCAGGCAGGACTGCAGGCAGGATTGCAGGCAGGACTGCAGGCAGGATTGCAGGCAGGACTGCAGGCAGGATTGCAGGCAGGACTGCAGGCAGGATTGCAGGCAGGACTGCAGGCAGGATTGCAGGCAGGACTGCAGGCAGGATTGCAGGCAGGACTGCAGGCAGGATTGCAGGCAGGACTGCAGGCAGGATTGCAGGCAGGACTGCAGGCAGGATTGCAGGCAGGACTGCAGGCAGGATTGCAGGCAGGACTGCAGGCAGGATTGCAGGCAGGACTGCAGGCAGGATTGCAGGCAGGACTGCAGGCAGGATTGCAGGCAGGACTGCAGGCAGGATTGCAGGCAGGACTGCAGGCAGGATTGCAGGCAGGACTGCAGGCAGGATTGCAGGCAGGACTGCAGGCAGGATTGCAGGCAGGACTGCAGGCAGGATTGCAGGCAGGACTGCAGGCAGGATTGCAGGCAGGACTGCAGGCAGGATTGCAGGCAGGACTGCAGGCAGGATTGCAGGCAGGACTGCAGGCAGGATTGCAGGCAGGACTGCAGGCAGGATTGCAGGCAGGACTGCAGGCAGGATTGCAGGCAGGACTGCAGGCAGGATTGCAGGCAGGACTGCAGGCAGGATTGCAGGCAGGACTGCAGGCAGGATTGCAGGCAGGACTGCAGGCAGGACTGCAGGCAGGACTGCAGGCAGGACTGCAGGCAGGACTGCAGGCAGGATTGCAGGCAGGACTGCAGGCAGGATTGCAGGCAGGACTGCAGGCAGGATTGCAGGCAGGACTGCAGGCAGGATTGCAGGCAGGACTGCAGGCAGGATTGCAGGCAGGACTGCAGGCAGGATTGCAGGCAGGACTGCAGGCAGGATTGCAGGCAGGACTGCAGGCAGGATTGCAGGCAGGACTGCAGGCAGGATTGCAGGCAGGACTGCAGGCAGGACTGCAGGCAGGACTGCAGGCAGGATTGCAGGCAGGACTGCAGGCAGGATTGCAGGCAGGACTGCAGGCAGGATTGCAGGCAGGACTGCAGGCAGGATTGCAGGCAGGACTGCAGGCAGGATTGCAGGCAGGACTGCAGGCAGGATTGCAGGCAGGACTGCAGGCAGGATTGCAGGCAGGACTGCAGGCAGGATTGCAGGCAGGACTGCAGGCAGGATTGCAGGCAGGACTGCAGGCAGGATTGCAGGCAGGACTGCAGGCAGGATTGCAGGCAGGACTGCAGGCAGGATTGCAGGCAGGACTGCAGGCAGGATTGCAGGCAGGACTGCAGGCAGGATTGCAGGCAGGACTGCAGGCAGGATTGCAGGCAGGACTGCAGGCAGGATTGCAGGCAGGACTGCAGGCAGGATTGCAGGCAGGACTGCAGGCAGGATTGCAGGCAGGACTGCAGGCAGGATTGCAGGCAGGACTGCAGGCAGGATTGCAGGCAGGACTGCAGGCAGGATTGCAGGCAGGACTGCAGGCAGGATTGCAGGCAGGACTGCAGGCAGGATTGCAGGCAGGACTGCAGGCAGGATTGCAGGCAGGACTGCAGGCAGGATTGCAGGCAGGACTGCAGGCAGGATTGCAGGCAGGACTGCAGGCAGGATTGCAGGCAGGACTGCAGGCAGGATTGCAGGCAGGACTGCAGGCAGGATTGCAGGCAGGACTGCAGGCAGGATTGCAGGCAGGACTGCAGGCAGGATTGCAGGCAGGACTGCAGGCAGGATTGCAGGCAGGACTGCAGGCAGGATTGCAGGCAGGACTGCAGGCAGGATTGCAGGCAGGACTGCAGGCAGGATTGCAGGCAGGACTGCAGGCAGGATTGCAGGCAGGACTGCAGGCAGGATTGCAGGCAGGACTGCAGGCAGGATTGCAGGCAGGACTGCAGGCAGGATTGCAGGCAGGACTGCAGGCAGGATTGCAGGCAGGACTGCAGGCAGGATTGCAGGCAGGACTGCAGGCAGGATTGCAGGCAGGACTGCAGGCAGGATTGCAGGCAGGACTGCAGGCAGGATTGCAGGCAGGACTGCAGGCAGGATTGCAGGCAGGACTGCAGGCAGGATTGCAGGCAGGACTGCAGGCAGGATTGCAGGCAGGACTGCAGGCAGGATTGCAGGCAGGACTGCAGGCAGGATTGCAGGCAGGACTGCAGGCAGGATTGCAGGCAGGACTGCAGGCAGGATTGCAGGCAGGACTGCAGGCAGGATTGCAGGCAGGACTGCAGGCAGGATTGCAGGCAGGACTGCAGGCAGGATTGCAGGCAGGACTGCAGGCAGGATTGCAGGCAGGACTGCAGGCAGGATTGCAGGCAGGACTGCAGGCAGGATTGCAGGCAGGACTGCAGGCAGGATTGCAGGCAGGACCGCAGGCAGGATTGCAGGCAGGACCGCAGGCAGGATTGCAGGCAGGACTGCAGGCAGGATTGCAGGCAGGACTGCAGGCAGGATTGCAGGCAGGACTGCAGGCAGGATTGCAGGCAGGACTGCAGGCAGGATTGCAGGCAGGACTGCAGGCAGGATTGCAGGCAGGACTGCAGGCAGGATTGCAGGCAGGACTGCAGGCAGGATTGCAGGCAGGACTGCAGGCAGGATTGCAGGCAGGACTGCAGGCAGGATTGCAGGCAGGACTGCAGGCAGGATTGCAGGCAGGACTGCAGGCAGGATTGCAGGCAGGACTGCAGGCAGGATTGCAGGCAGGACTGCAGGCAGGATTGCAGGCAGGACTGCAGGCAGGATTGCAGGCAGGACTGCAGGCAGGATTGCAGGCAGGACCGCAGGCAGGATTGCAGGCAGGACGCAGGCAGGATTGCAGGCAGGACTGCAGGCAGGATTGCAGGCAGGACTGCAGGCAGGATTGCAGGCAGGACCGCAGGCAGGATTGCAGGCAGGACCGCAGGCAGGATTGCAGGCAGGACTGCAGGCAGGATTGCAGGCAGGACTGCAGGCAGGATTGCAGGCAGGACTGCAGGCAGGATTGCAGGCAGGACTGCAGGCAGGATTGCAGGCAGGACTGCAGGCAGGATTGCAGGCAGGACTGCAGGCAGGATTGCAGGCAGGACTGCAGGCAGGATTGCAGGCAGGACTGCAGGCAGGATTGCAGGCAGGACTGCAGGCAGGATTGCAGGCAGGACTGCAGGCAGGATTGCAGGCAGGACTGCAGGCAGGATTGCAGGCAGGACTGCAGGCAGGATTGCAGGCAGGACCGCAGGCAGGATTGCAGGCAGGACCGCAGGCAGGATTGCAGGCAGGACCGCAGGCAGGATTGCAGGCAGGACCGCAGGCAGGATTGCAGGCAGGACCGCAGGCAGGATTGCAGGCAGGACTGCAGGCAGGATTGCAGGCAGGACTGCAGGCAGGATTGCAGGCAGGACTGCAGGCAGGATTGCAGGCAGGACTGCAGGCAGGATTGCAGGCAGGACCGCAGGCAGGATTGCAGGCAGGACTGCAGGCAGGATTGCAGGCAGGACTGCAGGCAGGATTGCAGGCAGGACTGCAGGCAGGATTGCAGGCAGGACTGCAGGCAGGATTGCAGGCAGGACTGCAGGCAGGATTGCAGGCAGGACTGCAGGCAGGATTGCAGGCAGGACTGCAGGCAGGATTGCAGGCAGGACTGCAGGCAGGATTGCAGGCAGGACTGCAGGCAGGATTGCAGGCAGGACTGCAGGCAGGATTGCAGGCAGGACTGCAGGCAGGATTGCAGGCAGGACTGCAGGCAGGATTGCAGGCAGGACTGCAGGCAGGATTGCAGGCAGGACTGCAGGCAGGATTGCAGGCAGGACTGCAGGCAGGATTGCAGGCAGGACTGCAGGCAGGATTGCAGGCAGGACTGCAGGCAGGATTGCAGGCAGGACTGCAGGCAGGATTGCAGGCAGGACTGCAGGCAGGATTGCAGGCAGGACTGCAGGCAGGATTGCAGGCAGGACTGCAGGCAGGATTGCAGGCAGGACTGCAGGCAGGATTGCAGGCAGGACTGCAGGCAGGATTGCAGGCAGGACTGCAGGCAGGATTGCAGGCAGGACTGCAGGCAGGATTGCAGGCAGGACTGCAGGCAGGATTGCAGGCAGGACTGCAGGCAGGATTGCAGGCAGGACTGCAGGCAGGATTGCAGGCAGGACTGCAGGCAGGATTGCAGGCAGGACTGCAGGCAGGATTGCAGGCAGGACCGCAGGCAGGATTGCAGGCAGGACCGCAGGCAGGATTGCAGGCAGGACCGCAGGCAGGATTGCAGGCAGGACCGCAGGCAGGATTGCAGGCAGGACTGCAGGCAGGATTGCAGGCAGGACTGCAGGCAGGATTGCAGGCAGGACTGCAGGCAGGATTGCAGGCAGGACTGCAGGCAGGATTGCAGGCAGGACCGCAGGCAGGATTGCAGGCAGGACTGCAGGCAGGATTGCAGGCAGGACTGCAGGCAGGATTGCAGGCAGGACTGCAGGCAGGATTGCAGGCAGGACTGCAGGCAGGATTGCAGGCAGGACTGCAGGCAGGATTGCAGGCAGGACTGCAGGCAGGATTGCAGGCAGGACTGCAGGCAGGATTGCAGGCAGGACTGCAGGCAGGATTGCAGGCAGGACTGCAGGCAGGATTGCAGGCAGGACTGCAGGCAGGATTGCAGGCAGGACTGCAGGCAGGATTGCAGGCAGGACTGCAGGCAGGATTGCAGGCAGGACTGCAGGCAGGATTGCAGGCAGGACTGCAGGCAGGATTGCAGGCAGGACTGCAGGCAGGATTGCAGGCAGGACTGCAGGCAGGATTGCAGGCAGGACTGCAGGCAGGATTGCAGGCAGGACTGCAGGCAGGATTGCAGGCAGGACTGCAGGCAGGATTGCAGGCAGGACTGCAGGCAGGATTGCAGGCAGGACTGCAGGCAGGATTGCAGGCAGGACTGCAGGCAGGATTGCAGGCAGGACTGCAGGCAGGATTGCAGGCAGGACTGCAGGCAGGATTGCAGGCAGGACTGCAGGCAGGATTGCAGGCAGGACTGCAGGCAGGATTGCAGGCAGGACTGCAGGCAGGATTGCAGGCAGGACTGCAGGCAGGACTGCAGGCAGGACTGCAGGCAGGATTGCAGGCAGGACTGCAGGCAGGATTGCAGGCAGGACTGCAGGCAGGATTGCAGGCAGGACTGCAGGCAGGATTGCAGGCAGGACTGCAGGCAGGATTGCAGGCAGGACTGCAGGCAGGATTGCAGGCAGGACTGCAGGCAGGATTGCAGGCAGGACTGCAGGCAGGACTGCAGGCAGGACTGCAGGCAGGATTGCAGGCAGGACTGCAGGCAGGATTGCAGGCAGGACTGCAGGCAGGACTGCAGGCAGGACTGCAGGCAGGATTGCAGGCAGGACTGCAGGCAGGATTGCAGGCAGGACTGCAGGCAGGATTGCAGGCAGGACTGCAGGCAGGATTGCAGGCAGGACTGCAGGCAGGATTGCAGGCAGGACTGCAGGCAGGATTGCAGGCAGGACTGCAGGCAGGATTGCAGGCAGGACTGCAGGCAGGATTGCAGGCAGGACTGCAGGCAGGATTGCAGGCAGGACTGCAGGCAGGATTGCAGGCAGGACTGCAGGCAGGATTGCAGGCAGGACTGCAGGCAGGATTGCAGGCAGGACTGCAGGCAGGATTGCAGGCAGGACTGCAGGCAGGATTGCAGGCAGGACTGCAGGCAGGATTGCAGGCAGGACTGCAGGCAGGATTGCAGGCAGGACTGCAGGCAGGATTGCAGGCAGGACTGCAGGCAGGATTGCAGGCAGGACTGCAGGCAGGATTGCAGGCAGGACTGCAGGCAGGATTGCAGGCAGGACTGCAGGCAGGATTGCAGGCAGGACTGCAGGCAGGATTGCAGGCAGGACTGCAGGCAGGATTGCAGGCAGGACTGCAGGCAGGATTGCAGGCAGGACTGCAGGCAGGATTGCAGGCAGGACTGCAGGCAGGATTGCAGGCAGGACTGCAGGCAGGATTGCAGGCAGGACTGCAGGCAGGATTGCAGGCAGGACTGCAGGCAGGATTGCAGGCAGGACTGCAGGCAGGATTGCAGGCAGGACTGCAGGCAGGATTGCAGGCAGGACTGCAGGCAGGATTGCAGGCAGGACTGCAGGCAGGATTGCAGGCAGGACTGCAGGCAGGATTGCAGGCAGGACTGCAGGCAGGATTGCAGGCAGGACTGCAGGCAGGATTGCAGGCAGGACTGCAGGCAGGATTGCAGGCAGGACTGCAGGCAGGATTGCAGGCAGGACTGCAGGCAGGATTGCAGGCAGGACTGCAGGCAGGATTGCAGGCAGGATTGCAGGCAGGATTGTTCTCTGCTCGCATGGATGGACCAGCACGGGCAGCAACCCGCCCTACTCCATATTCACTCCTCTCCTCTTCCTCTCCCATCCTCCAGGGTCAGTACTGCTTCGCGGGCGCACTAAATGCCACCAAGATTGCAGGCAAGATTGTCCTTTGCTCTTATGGATGGACGAGCACGAGCAGCAAGGCCGCAGAGGTTGCTAGCAAGGGCGGCAAGGCGGTAATCGTGGTGGATGTGCCGGCAGCAGCGAGACCATACCCCTTCTATGAGTCAAGATTGCCAGTTATGGGCGCGGAGGCTAGCGAGACGGGTGTTCTGCGCATGTACACCCGCACCATGGTCAGGTGAGGGGTTACTACACTCACTTTCTGCGTGCAGCAAGTGTGCTAAACCACTCGTATGCCTAGTACACTGCCAGGTGTACTACCAGGTGCACTGCGGCCTTGACCACCGACCAGGCTCCCGAAATTGCTTCTTAATCTTGATGACTCACAAGGTTCTTCCGCCTCTTGACCCTTCCTCTCCATCGCTTCTCCCCTTTTTTCCCCATTCCTCTCTGCCAGCCCGACTGCTTCATTCACCTCCACCTTGAAGACAGACCTAACCACCGATTAAACCCCCCAAGTCGCCGATTCTCTTTTGACTCACAAGTTTTCTCCTCTCACCTACCCATTCCCCCGCTTCCCCCCTCCCCTCCTCCTTTCCCCCCTCCCCTCCTTCTTTCCCCCCTCTCCTCCTTCTTTCCCCCCTCCGCCAGCCCGACTGCATCCTTCGCCTACACCTTCAAAACGGACCTAACCACCGATCAAGCCCCCGAAGTCGCGTATTTCTCGTCTGCTGGTCCGCTCATCAACCCCGCTAGTGCAACCAGGCTCTCCTTCCCCACCAACGACATCTTAAAGCCAGATATAATCGGTCCCGGCGTTTCTTTATGGGCCGCTACGCGGTCTTCGTCGCTCGCATCGGCTTCTATCCCCGCTTACGCCATGCTTAGCGGAACCTCAATGGCAACTCCGCATTTAGCTGGAATCGCGGCGCTTCTTGTCGAAAGATACCCTGCCTGGACGCCGTCGCAAGTTATGTCCACGATTATTACTACAGCGAGCGTCAATAATAACAAAAACGGGCCGATCGTAACGGGTTCGACTGGAAATGCGGCGACGCCGTGGGATATGGGAGCGGGCCACGTGAATCCCAACGGTCTAATGGACCCTGGGCTCACCTTTCCCGCCAACGCTGCAGATTTTTACAACTTTCTTGCCGGGCAGAATTTGGTGACCGCCAAGAGTTTTGCTCCAATCGGAACGAAGCTGTCCCCCATTTCGGCATACAATCTGAACCGCCCGACGATTTCGGTCTCGCGGCTGAATAAAACGGTGCTGCTGTCGCGAACGGTGCAGAACGTCGCGAATACGGTATCCAACTACACTTCTACAATCGTTACACCACCTGGTGTTATTACGGCTATAAGTCCAAATAAGTTTACGATTCCTCCAATGGGGACCGTAACGTTCGCTCTCCGGTTCACAGTCGCAACGGCGTCTCTTGATTTCCAATTCGGAAGCCTGACATGGAAGGACCAGTTTGGCCACGTGGTGCGGTCGGTGCTGGCGGTCCAGCCTCTCTACAAATAAGGTGGATTTGCTGCATTCCTTCCTACAGATGACGCGTCGATCCACTGGAGCTATGCCCAAGTGGGACATCATTGTCAAGCGTGCTATTGCTATTTGCAAATAACGAACTTGGCTTTCCTAAAATGTAGCACAAAGAAAGTCAAGCTCACACACAAGTGCGTGATGTAAACTGGCTGCACCTACCACGTTGCCGATTGAGAAGAATGCATGATACACACATCCAGCAGTTCCCGTTATATACCGTATCTACCTATTGTGGTAGCTCTTATTTCACAGAAACAGTTTCGTTTGTTGCTTCTTTCGAGGTCAAGCAGCCCAATAACCCACCATGTGTGGTGTGGTGTGATTCATTCAGAGCTTGGCGAAAGCCTTATGGATCTTCCTCGCAGCAGACAGTACAGCCGGTCCGCAGCATTTTCAATCAACACATAGCCAGATAGCTACTCGTAGAGCTCTTTCAACTCCTTGGCGAATGTTTTATGGATCACGTTGCGCTTGATTTTCAGGGCAGGTGTCACGAGGCCGGTTTCGGGCAGCCATGGTTCGGGCAGCAGCTTGATCCTTGCGGGCACCTCGAATTTGTTAAGCCCTGCATCCTTGCTCACCTGCAAGAAGAATGGAAGTATGAACGATCGGGAAAAGGAAGTAATGGAAGAAGCAACGGAGGGAAGTACATTTGCGTAGCAGCACTTTCACATGAAGTACATTTGACAGCTATTCTTCCTTGGCCTAAGCCAACACTTGCCCATACCCACCCACCTTCACCCTCCTTGTCAAACCAGGCCAACAAGGTAGCATATATATATATATATATATACATATAAACACATATTTATATACATATATATAGAGAGAGATATGTACGTTGCGCAGCTTAGAGAAAGCACCTTCTGCAGGGATCTCAGCACCTCTGCAACCACCTCCTCTCTCCCACACAGCTTTGCGTAACCCTCCTCCGCAATCAGGCAACAGAAAAGGCAACGGCCGTACCTACCTAATGCCCTGAGGGAACGCACCTTCTGCAGGCATCTCAACACCTCCGCCACCACGTCCTCTCTCGCACACAGCTTCGCATAATCCTCCTCCTCAATCCCTCTACTCTTGGCGAAATCCGCCACCGCAGCCGGCACCGGCACCACCAGCGCGACGGCAAACGCCTTGGTGGAGTCGGCAAAGACGAGCAGGTTGTCGACAAAGGGGCTGACTTGCAGCACGGCCTCGACCTTGCCAAGGGAGACGTACTCCCCGTGCTGCAGCTTGACAATGTCTTTCTTGCGGTCGATGATCTGAATGCACCCGTCTGGATGAACAGCTCCGATGTCCCCCGTGCGGAACCACCTCATTCCATGTGTGTCCTCCTGTTGTTGGGTAGGGGGGAGGAGGAAGAGGGAGGGAGGGAAGCGGCCGCGGAAGGAGGGAGGGGAGGAGGAGGAGGAGGAGGAGGAGGAGGGGAGGAGGGGAGAAGGGAAGAGGGGCTGACTTGCAGCACTGCTTCGACCTTGCCGAGGGAGGCGTAATCCTCGTGCTGAGAGGGGGAAGGGGAGAGGGGCCAGTCAAGTGCCTCTGAGAGACGTACTCCCCGTGCTGCAGCTTGACAATGTCCTTCTTGCGGTCGATGATCTGAATGCACCCGTCTGGGTGAACGGCTCCGATGTCCCCCGTGCGGAACCACCTCATTCCGTGTGCGCCCTCCTGATGGGAGGGGGTGAGAGTTGGATTAAGGGCCAGGGAGTTTGAATTAACATTTATGCACTTGTCTGCGTGCACTGTCCCAGTGTCCCCTGTTCGGAACCACCCCATGCCCTGTGGGTCCTCCTGATAGAGTTGGGATTGTGGGGTGTGTTGAGAAGTGAATCAAGTCAAAAGGTCAATCGAGTCAACCACTCACCAAAAACAACTCAGCTGTCTTCTCCTTGTCCTTCCAGTACCCCAGGCTCACGTTGGGCCCACCAGTCAAGCAAGTCAAGCAAGTGAATCACAAGTCAAGCAAGTCAACCACTCACCGAGAACACTTCGGCAGTCTTCTCCTTGTCCTTCCAGTACCCCAGGCTCACGTTCGGCCCGCCAATCAGAATCTCCCCCCGTGGGTGCGGGTGGTCTGTCGTGCGGTAACCACCCTCCTCCCAGTCGATTAGCTGAGGGGCGCAAGTTGGGGAGAGGCACAGGGAGGAGCAAGGGGAAGTTAGGGATGGAAAGTGAGAGTTGGGCCTGCCAATCAGAATCTCCCCCCGTGGGTGTAGGTGGTCTGTCGTGCGGTAACCGCCCTCCTCCCAGTCGATCAGCTGTTGAAGGCAAGTCGAGAGGTTGGAACGGAGGAAATTAACACAAGGGACGGGAAGGACGGAGGAACAGAGGAACGGGAGAGCAGTCTGTACTGTGGGAACAGCCTCCCTCCCCTAGGGCCAAACATTTTCTTGAGTCAATGTGTAAAAAAAGGTCACCTCGTACTGGGCCTATGCAACTCATAAGTTACCCACCCGAACCACCCACCCGAACCACCCACTCGAACCACCCACACGAACCACCCACCCGAACCACCCACTCGAACCACCCACACGAACCACCCACCCGAACCACCCACCCAAACCACCCAACCATATTGAAAGACCCACCCGAATGAGGTTGCAGGGAATGGGAGGCCCCACGCGGCCCACAGACGAGTCGTCCCACTCTGAGAAGGTCCCCCCCGCTGCTGTCTCTGTGAGGCCGTAGCCCTGGCTGATGGGGATGCTGCAGGCATCAAGTGTAGGGAGGAGGGGGTGGGAACGAAGAGGAGATACGATAATGAGGGGAGGAGATACGATAATGCGGGGAGGAGATACGATAATGAGGGGAGGAGATACGATAATGAGGGGAGGAGATACGATAATGCGGGGAGGAGATACGATAATGAGGGGAGGAGATACGATAATGAGGGGAGGAGATACGATAATGAGGGGAGGAGATACGATAATGAGGGGAGGAGATACGATAATGAGGGGAGGAGATACGATAATGAGGGGAGGAGATACGATAATGAGGGGAGGAGATACGATAATGAGGGGAGGAGATACGATAATGAGGGGAGGAGATACGATAATGAGGGGAGGAGATACGATAATGAGGGGAGGAGATACGATAATGAGGGGAGGAGATACGATAATGAGGGGAGGAGATACGATAATGAGGGGAGGAGATACGATAATGAGGGGAGGAGATACGATAATGAGGGGAGGAGATACGATAATGAGGGGAGGAGATACGATAATGAGGGAGACTGTAGCTCTGGCTAATGGGGATGCTGCAGGCATGGGCACAGGTGAAGGGGAGAGGGAGGGGAGGGAGGGGGCAGACACGAGGATAAGTATGTACATGAACCTCGTTACCTCAATCATAGCACCTTCCAGGGGTTACGACCTTAATAAAACTTAAACTTAAACATAGCACCTTCCAGGTGTATGAAGAAGTGTTTTGAGACGTCTCACAGTCACCTAAATCAGATGGGAGAAAAAACACGTGTATGAAGAAGTGTTTTGAGACGTGGCGACTTTTGAGTCGACTCAAAACACTTTTTCAGACACGAGGATAAGTGTGTATATGAACCTCGTTACCTCAATCATAGCACCTTCTGGTGAAATCAATCATAGCTTCTTGTGCTTGGAACGAAACCAGAATCACAGTCAAAACTTGCTAGACGCGGGATCGAGTCTCACTTGAAGCATATGTTCATGAATCGTTGGGAGTCGGGAGAGAGAGGAGCTCCTCCTGATAGCATGAATCGCAAATGCCCCCCCACTGCAGCTCGCACCTGGTGGGGGGTAGGGGCGGCGACGTAAGCGGGAATGACACAGGAATCAAGGGAAAGATTGAGAGGGGGGCGCCTGTTTGAAAGGGATCAATATGATGTGAGTTAAAGGAGAGAGAGGAGCCCCCCCTGACAGGATGAATCGCCGATGGCCCCCCACTGCTGCTCGCACCTGGTGTGGGGGAGATGTGGGAGACGGGAGAGACATGTGAAGGGAGACATGGGGAGGCATGTCAATAAAGGACCATCCGAGTACACCACAGCAACCGCTCCACACCATTCCACACCCCTCCACGCCCCACGCGCCGAACCCCTTGTCAGCCAGGCAGTGCTCGCCCCACAGATACATACCCCCCCTCCCCCTTGGGTTTAGGGTTTAGGGTTTAAGGTTTAGGGTTTAGGCCCCCTCTCGCCCCCACCTACTAGACCACCACTCTCACCGCCACGCACCTTTCTAAACACCAGCAGGTCCCAGAACAGCCGCTCCACACCCCACGCGCCGAACCAGCTGCCCTCAATAGCTGCTAGGCGGCGCGAATACGCGAGGTTGAATAGCGTCCGCCTGACTGGTGGTGCTGCTGCTATCTGTGCGGCATTCAGTGAGGAGGGAAGGAGGGAGGGAACGGGTACGAGAGTGGGCTGACCGGCGGTGCTGCTATAAATCTGTGAGATATGGAGCGAGGAGAGAAGGACGGATGAGGATCCTTTGAGGTCGTTTTTGAGGCGCCTCAAAAGAGAGAAGGATGCGACCTCAATGCGAGATATGGAGCGAGGAGAGAAGGATGGATGAGGTCGTTTTTGAGGCGCCTCAAAAACGACCTCAAAAGAGAGAAGGATGCGGCCTCAATGCGAGATATGGAGTCTACGAGGAGAGGAGGATGGAAGAGGATCGATGTGGAAAGATGGCAGATAGCAGATTGATGTGAGACAGGGAGCATGGAAGGAACGATGGATGTGGAAAGAGAGTTGAGGACAGATGAAGAACCCTTGGTTCTATTGAAAATGAAGTGACTTTTTGAGTCGACTCAAAAGAGAGTTGAGGGCAGGTGAAGAACCCTTGGTTCTGTTGAAAATGAAAAGGATATGTTTCTTTCTCACCATCTCCCTGCGGAATCAAAAATACTTTTCTCATCTTGCGTCTTACGGCGTCCCTGATTCGGTCCAGAATAGTCGGCACCGCCACCATCAGCGTGGGGCCCGGCTGGAGCGAGGGACA